ATTTTTGGAATTTTACGGTACTTAATTATAAATTGTGTCCCCCAATTAGTATGGGGTTTTTCCCAAGCTATATGGCTCCCACACATTAACAAAGTTATCTATTTGTCTGCCTGTCTGTCTATCTATCTATCTAAAGAAAGTTAACCTTGCTAATTCAGACACTTCATTATCAACTGTATGTTGTAACAAAACCTTTCCATTTTGAAGGTAAAAAAACTTAAGTTGAAAGCATGATGCTCCCATTGTTACAATACACCGGATAACATGATTTGTAGATGTCAATTTCACACTATTTTCAGGCACCAAACTAGTTATGTAGATTATGAGATGACTATAAGATGATTTGTAGATGCCAATTTCATACTATTTTCAGGCACCAGACTAGTTATGTAGATTATGATTTTGATAGATTAGTTTACACAGATGAGCATTTTTTGAGTGTTTCTGTTGATTTATTCTTTGTGAACATTAGAGATGTTTAATTTGACAGTGCTAATATAATGTGCTCTTTTATATCTTTAGTATTTTGTTATAATAAAAGGTGCTTTTTTTAACTCAAATAACATGAATACGGACACTTTCTGTGGCCCCTTCAGTGTCCATATTAACGGGGTTTGACTCGTTACAAAAATACTGAATCCATTTTATGGCCAAGTGATGCTCCTGTATGCATAACATATTTAACTTCACAGCTTAAATAAAACTGATTTTGTTTTGAGGCATGAAAACTATTTTAAACTCTCTCACACCCACCATTCCCAAATAAGCAGAATTCTTCTCAGCTGTTCTAGAAGGTTTAACACCTTTGACTGATTTCTAATAAAAGTGAACAAAATATGTCCGGGATATAACCACAGACCAGGAGGCTCCAAGGAAACAGATGTCTCTAGAATCATAATTCTTGGGAGTCTGACAACTTCCTTTGTACTATTAGGAAGACAGATGCAAATGACAATGGACAATGAAAAATTCAATAAATTGAAAGTTGTTAGGCTCCTGAGGGTTCTATTTAATTAAAGAAAAGGAGCCACAAAATTTGTGAAATATGTAAAAAGGGAAATTGCTATGTCTGTTGTGTTTATGCAAACTGATTTGTCGTAGCTAGATATACATGTAAGTTCATTCCACAAAGACAATAACACTGTATGACATTGAAAGACAACAGTAACATCTGAAGATAACATATATCAAAAACTATGGTGGATGTAACCAAGGGATCGTTGTGAATGGTGAGACAAGAGATATGGATTAGATCAGTGGATGCGGTTACCTATCAATTTCATTATTCTTTCAACAGAGTTATGTGCAGGGTAAAAATGATGATCAACCAAACCAACCAAAACAGCTCTTTTCTCAATGGAACATGAGCACAGTAGTAACGCCGTTGTGTCACAAAATCCTTGTCAATCTTTTCTTTTAATAAGTGGGCGCATTTTCTTATCTTTATGCGCAACTTAAGTAGGCCCCTAGGTTTATTTTCAGATGGTTACTGGGTAACAGACAATAACAAAATTTTTGTGAGTTATGTGGAAGCTGGTTGCTTTGGGCCCAAAAAAATAAGTATTGAGTTACAAGTTAAATGTGTGAAGTATTACCTTCTACACCAAGTTTAAGTAGGAATTAAAATTAACTCCTGACTTTAAATTTGATTAACACCTCAAACTATATATATAAGGTGTAATACATCTTAAAATTTTTCTTGTCTCCTTCCTTAGCCTTATCCTTATAAGGCTAGACAATGAGGCAGAGGACAAAGGAACATGAAATGCTAACAAGTGATAACCTTGGGTCTTCCTGTGGTTAATTATTATTCTACTTCCTGCTTTATATTTTATTTATTGCTAAAATTAGGTCTGTAAGTCTGTACTCTTAAAATCAGTCATAACTAAAGCAAGTATTTTCAGTTCTATTCCTTTGCAGGTTTTCAGTAGAAATTAACCATAAATTTATTGAAAATAAAATAAGATTTAAAATGCTCTGAGCCAAATGAAATCTTCCAATCTTAATTTTTTATCTTTTTAAGTTCTGTGACGTCAGGGGAATCCCCAAACTTCACGCACCATATCCAATCAAAACATTGCTCATCATAACACTGCGTATAAATTTTCTGCACAGATGATCGTCATAAGAAGGTTTTTACTTGTGTGAGAGGGGATATAATTTTTGTATTTATAGCAAAAGATAATATTTTTGCCCCCTAAAGGAGAACGAGGATGATAAGAACGACTTAGTATCCTTCACATGAAACATCTAAATCCGCAAAAACATACTTTTGCCTAAACCTTTTGCCTTCGATCTCAAAATCTTACAGATGTTTTTTGTTGCTCGTATAAGCCACAAACAGTAATAAAAACATGTTGAATCGGACCCTCATAACCCGAAAAATCCGACTGTTATAAATTATAGTGTTGTATTCTCGCCAAAGAATATTTATTTCCTGCCGAACTAAGAGACCGTAACATCGAGAAGTAAAAGATCTTACCTCAGTTTCCGAGGCATAAATCTTGACGATGTTTTCATGATTAAGTTTCGCGAGGACTTCGAATTCTCTTCTGCGAACATCGAAGGGTCGCATCATACCCAGATTGTTTGAGACTTTGATCGCAAAAGCATCACCAGTTTTCTAAGAAGGAAAACAGAACATGGAATGTGAGTAAAGTTGAAACGTCAACAAAACTTAAAAACGTAGAGTGGTGAATTTAACAGCACTAGCCGATCGAGAATCAGAACCACATTCAAGCAACTTTCTTCGGCCAATTCATTATTAAACAATCCAACAAGATAGCTCGATAGCTTTCATTTAGGTTGTCTCACTAAATCTACAGACGTAGCCATTAATTATATTACGTATTTTAAAGCAAAGAGGAATATTTAATAGGAAAGAAGTTTCGCCGTTCGATCGAAAACACATTACCTTGTGTCTTCCTCTGTACACCGCTCCGGTAGCTCCTTGTCCCATCACATCTTTTATATTCCAAATGTAGGTGGCACTGCTTCTGATCTCCATGATAATATGATCGCCTATTTATAAAATTCCACGAAATGTTTTAATACAGGCGCAAACAGCTCGCAACCTGACGACTTTGAGGAGGTCAATTTCTCAGAATTCGATCGATTTCGAAAGGCGTTGAGTTCGTTCGACGTTTGCCTTTCGTTTCGTTCAACACTTTTCATACTTTACGATTTAATACATAAAATATGGCATTATATATGTTGTTCAAGTTCCCGTCGTGGGAACGCCTAACTTAACTGTAGTATCAGTCTGCTGTGGTATTAATGTTTACATATGTAGATCAGACACTAATCACGCAACGATCATAAGACCGTCACGCAACGTTTGTCTTCGGGGGAGGGGAGGGGTAAGTGAGGTTAACGCGGTTAACGCGTGGGTCGGTTAAAAATCTGTCGAATCAGCACATCGTTTGATCCCTCAAACACACGTGTAAACATTTGTTTCCGAGTAAATTATTTTTTCAGTTAACCGTAGAATCATATCGTAGACTTAAAAAATCCCCGAATGCGTGCAAGCTACCTCGTAGAAAACTTGTAAAATTCCTATGATGTTGACGAGTATGCGAACCAGACTGGATAAAAAATACGTAGAAAACTATACAATTTCTTATTCGCTCATTGCTAATGAATGGCAATTTTCAGTACTACCAGGAGTACTACTAAAGTTTTTTACTTACTGAGTGGCTGAATATTGAAAGTTTTTGAGAGCTTTTTAAGTGACTTACCAGTTCAGTTCTTTACTAGAATTAAAGAAGTGTCCTCATGTCACCAAAAGGTTCTAAAAAAGGTTCTGTTTAGATATTGCGTCGTTGTTCAACAATTTATACCCGTGACTCTGCAAATAGTTGTGCAATGTCGAGTTAAACTGGTATTGGCCTAAAACGAAAGGACAAACAAAGAGTCATTGAAACCATCACCTCACTGCTTAAACCTATCTGATACAAATCTTACAGAGATTCGATAGTGTTTTCAATCTACTTGTACGCAACGGAAAAAAGTTGCCTCAAAAATTTCCAGGATGTCATTACCTACTGAAAAGTTACACAAGAGAAAAGTCCTGTTTCTATCGTCTGTGAAAGATGTCAAACTTTGATCAACTTTCCCCCCCAGTCAGCGGAAGTTTTCACGCTTCTTTTTTTTTTCCTGTAGAACGTCACGGCTTTAAACCACTTTCCGCAAGCACTTGACCCAGGGAATGACAGCACTTGAATAATGCCCGGTGAGATGGGCACGCTTCGAATTGATAGAGCCACTAAAAGGTCTGTGAACAGACTATGGGGCTATTTAGACGGAGGAAGGAAGATCCAAGCCCCAGGAAGATCCTAGAAGGCGGACAATCCTAGCACCATATGTTTTCTGCATTCAGTTTACTTCCAAAAAGTTGTACTTGTCCCTAGTAGCGATAGAATCTTTCTTCCTAGCTAATAGGTAGGAAGATCACAGCACAAGGAAGATCCTAGCACCGTGTAAACTGCTTTCGCAAGGAAGATCCCAGTACTAGGGACAAACCACAGAAAAAAGCAGGTCATTCAGTGGGTCAGTAATCTTAATTCCTTCTTTACTGTTAGACACACGGACCGAAATTTCTGCATGTAAACCCAATGAAAAGTTATTGCGCCTTTTAGGAGCTTCCTTATTCCAAGTAAACAGCCCCTATGTTGGTTAGCCTGTGAGCAAGCTCGCGGAGGGGCGCAGGGCGCTCGCAGGCCAATGGTGGTTGTTGTACTGTTAGTATGAAACAGGGCATCCAGTAAGAAAACAGATATTTGGCCTACATGTAGCTTATTAGAAATCGGTTGCCAAACTGCACTAAACTGGGAACACCTTAGTGAGGAAGAGGGGCTTCGCTCGCCCACTTATTCGCCTTTTCCCCGACCAAAGAGCCTAGTCCCACGCTACAGCGTTGCTAAACAGGATCAGAACGGCGGTAGACTTCAAAGTCCGTGGATCAATTTAGTCAAGAAATCAGAGCAATTTTACAATTCATTTCTTAATTCACCCAAAAAGATTTAAAAAGAGTGGTTCCTCAACCTCATGATTAATTTACAACTTAAAGATTCTTTAAGGTTTTTGGAATAAAATTGTGAACGATCAAGCATAAAGCAGAAAAGAACGTGACTCATTCTTGTCATTTAACAAGTTACAACTTGTTTAGCTTCCCTCTTGACGAGATAAGCCGATAAATTTAACAATCAAATTTCACGTATGCAGGCCTCAAATATTCAGCATTGCATTAAACGTTGTTCAGTTTTCTTCCCGCAAGAGTCTCTTTCCATGAATGGAGGCTGGTGTAAACATACAATCTAAAGATAATGACAAGCGAGAGCAGAAGTTTACAGCGTGTAAACAGGTGCGACACGTGCTAACACAAGTGGCGTTGAGGTTGCATATGTTTATGCAAAATTTTGAGTGAAAATGGTGAATTTATACCTGGGAAAACCTTAATTAAAAAGCTGCAAGTATAGAAGGTGCAGCCCATGATAACTACATGTAGAGTAGACGGTTTACAGTTCCCTATTTTTCTGTTAGATTGTCGTGACCGATCACCTAAATCCCCCTCCCCTCCCCTTGCCACCGTTACAACCCCGACGCCCATCCCCTCGGAGTCATTTGAAACTACATATATGTACAGTCGACTCCCGATAACTCGAACCTTCCAGGGAAATCGAAAAAAGTTCGAGTTATAGGGAGTTCGATACCATTGCTGTCTTTTTATTTAGTCAACAGGTTTACTCCTGGCCACATGGCTGAAGCATGAATTTTTCATACGGGACACGTTTTTCCAAGCGGCTTCACAAATCAGCACAAATCCATGAAAGAGCAATTTCAGTTTAATATTCAGCCTAAATGGGGTCATATCCCATACATTTTACTCTAACTGGGAGAAGAAAATAATTAGTTACATCGGAGTGTTCGTTTATATATATTAGTTCGTTGTACACACCACTGCACTGCCATTCAGGTAATTTTAACCTCAGCTTACCTTAATTCTGCTCAGTTGTCTCGTATTTCGTCTACAGAAGAATCATAGTATTGCAATACATCCTTCCTGCTAGTTTGTCTTGCTTAAACTGTTTCAGTTGTGACTTCCTAGAGGGTTTTGCCCCAACTAAAAAGAGCGAAATTACAGTTGACTTCAAGTTTCGCGCGTGAAATATTTCACTTTCGACAGTCTTTTGTCACGCAGTCTTCTCGTCATCATTCTTCTCTCGCATTTCGCATCATCGGTTACGTAATAACGCCTGTCACCTTTTGCCGCTTAAACTTGCACGAGTTCGAAAAGGACCCAAAAAATGTTTAGAAACGCTTTAATTCAAGGAGCTAGTCGCGGTATAGGACTACAGATGTGTCGATACTTGCTTTCCAGACACACTAATGTAATAGCAACGTGCAGGGACCCTGCAAAAGCATTGGATTTGACCCGACTCCAACATGAGCATGGCGACATGTTGACTGTCTTCCGTGTTGATGTCCAAGACGAAGCTCAAATTAAAGAGTTGTCGGCTCAAGTTGGTGATAAAAAGCTGGATTTGTTGATAAACTGCGCCGGAATACTCCATCCAAGTGGAAAGGGAGAAACTAGCTTAAGAGAAGTTAATTCACAAGATATGAGCGCCACAATAGCTACGAACACTTTCGGGCCGTTGTTGATGGCGAAGTATTTCAATTCCAATCTTGCCAAGAAGAAGTCCGAGAATGGCACCGCGAAAGCCGGCAAAGGAAGTAAAAATAGGGAGGCGGCCGGTGTTCTTGTCAACATGTCAGCCAGAGTTGGATCAATTTCTGACAATGGTCTTGGCGGATGGTACAGTTATAGGATGTCAAAAGCTGCTCTCAATATGGCGACTAAAAATCTCAGCATAGAGCTAGGAAGGAAACAAGTGATTTGTGTCTCTTTACATCCCGGCACGGTGAACACTGATCTATCAAGTCGTTACCTCAAGAATGTCGACCCTGCTAAAGTTTTCACTCCCGCGTTTTCAGTAGATTGCCTAATGAACATCATCAGTGGACTAGAATTGAAAGACAATGGGAAATTTTTTGCTTGGGATGGAAAGGAAATTCCCTGGTAAACATAAAGTACAAACAAGTCCGAGATGGTCTGGAAGCTTTCCGCCCACCCCTCCCATGACCCTACTTTTTGCTCAAATTAATAAACTAGTAGTAACATTGGTTTAGGGGAGGGGTAGTTGGGATGTCTCCCAGAATCTTAAGCTGATCAAAAACAAAGTAGAAACAAACATGTTCACAATAGATATCAGAAAATGAGTGAAGAGGAAAATAAAGTTAATTTCAAGTGTAATTTGTGTTTGGTTTATTAACACTCCTTTTCTTCCTTGACCCTTTTAATCCCATTTCATGGAGTGTTACATGGTGTTAGTAACTTATGAGTCTGCATTTGAATGGCGAGTTTATTTTTCACACCCAGTACCTATGCAGGTGAACCCCTCTTTACCGACACCCACTTAATACAGGCACCTTATTATTAGACAGTTTTCTTTGTCCCAAGGAAAGCCCTAACATTAATGTAGACAATGGACACTTGTTTCTTGCCCGCTCAGCAGGTTCTCATAACTAGTTAGCCTTACTTACGGGGACACTTTCTTGTGAACTGTGTGCCGTAATAGGCCAATCCTTTTTAAAGGTAAAATTAAAACCTGAGCGCTACAGTACACTGGAAAGGATGAAATTATTGTGCTCAAAGTAATGTATAAATCAGGGGCACCAAACGACTGTTTTTTGTTAAAAAAGCAAATATTTCCTAGAATTTTCTATTACTTGAGGAAGGCTAAAAATTTCTAGATCACCGTTCCATTCACGTACAATTTTCGAAGGCTGATATATTTTTCCACGATTTTCTGAAGTTTAATTTTTTACATCTCACTGTCCAGGTTAGGCTATTTTTCGTACAAAAAGAAAACCTAAAAGTTTTGGATTCAAAAATATAATGGAGAGAGGAATCAGAAAAATTTCCACTTTTGTAATATGCTAAATTGCACTAAACCTTTTGGAAAAACAATACTGAAGCTCCTGTAATTTCGAAAAGACTCAAGTTCCCCTAGGATGATCGATCAGATGCAATTTTATGGCACCACTTAGAACGCATTTCTAGAGATCTAAAAGTACTCCGGACAGCTTAAAGAGTGATAAATCAGCAATTTTCTAGTGTTTCCATTGATATAGTCCGTGGAATGATGTCTTTTTGAAGGTTAGAGAGGTTTGTTTGATTTGACGATGTTTTTATTTCTTTAGTTGTTCAAATAAAAGCCGTATTTTTGACGTAAATAACAAGACCCACTCAATACACCCCAATAACATGGACACTGTCTGTCTCAAACTATTAATCTCACCAAAACGGGTAGGAAATGCTCCAGAAGCAAACACACGGTACTTGGACACGACAAAAGCAAAAGATGGGTCATTTTTATTTCGAATCTTTTCAAAACGTATAATTTAGGACGTACAATAAACACCCATGGAGTGTGGATTACCTACGCTAAAATTAAATGTCAAACTATCATTTCACCAGAAAGAAGAATGTCTAGTTTGGAAGTTCATGGGACATTGCAAAGCAAATTTACCCTCCACTTGAAGAAAATCATGGTCATTTGGCTAGAATCATGTCAAAATAAATTTTATGCATGATTTGCATAATTAACACCTACATTTGAGTCTCCTACCACTATTGGCGTTTTTTCAGTTTTCCACAACACAGCTACAGGCATTGAAATGAATGTTTTTGGCTATGTTTAAAGAAACCCTTATTTGAAGGGAAGTTTATAGACTTTTCACCCACATCAATTGAGAGAATGAACAACATTTTATTGTAATTTATTTCCTTCAGTGTTTACTGACGGTCACTTTTGTTACTCGTAACTCTTGACTTACTAGCAACACTGATTTATAACAGTACAATTTGTTCTTTTTCCTATTTTTTTTTATCCAAGGTAATAAATTAAGACAAGCAAACAAAAAAGAATTATAAAAAGAAATAAATTCTTGCTGAAAAATACAACTTAATATTAAAAAATATCCGTAGTTTTTTTGGGTGTCTTGTTTCTGGTAATTCAGGTGAACGAGAGTGGTGTCTCATCGATTTAAACCAACCATTAAAATAGTTAAAATACTACCGAGTTGAGCTGCGCCTTTGGGCTCCAAATTGACAATTTGAAGGAAAAACATAATCAACTTATTAGACCTTCGGATCTTCCTTTTTACAATAGACTTCACTCTATTCTTCAATATTATTACTCATTTTATATTACTCATGCAGAAGTTTCACTTTTTCTGCTTGTACATCAGTGTATTGCAGATATAACTTACATATATTAACCAAACAGACTTCAATAACTATACACATTGACTTCTTATGATCTTAATTCACAGCCAGCATCCCGGCATAAAGTGCTAAGGCGTCAAAAACCATATCCTATTGCCATATAAAATTGCATTACATTGCACCATACTGACAAATTCGAAACTTGCACGTTTCCTTTTTGAATTCAAATTGTACATTTTTTCTTTCCCCTTCATACCAGTGTGAAGGGCTCCCTTTGTCACGTACGGAGGTTGCTGAAGAAGGCCTGCAACCACAAAAACATGTATTAACATCTAATGTGTGAATTTTAAATGACCAGGACTCCAAAGTTGATAACCTTTTCAGGATATCATTGATTGAACTTCACTGTGTTTACAAGCCTCACCTTCAAATAGCTCTTGAAAGTTTTCATGTCAGCATGTTGTAGAGCATTAGTGTACTCCTAAAAAATAATTTTTTTATTGCTTACAACCGTACATATGAAAATAAACTACTACAATGCACAGCAAAGATAAAAAAAGGAGTTACACCACTCTTTTCATTTATGAACAAATTAACACCATCTAACAGTTAATACTTAATGACTGATCTCAGGGGCACCCAACGACAATTTTCGGAAAAATATCTGTTCGGATGACGATTTGAGATCTAGAATTTTCGGAACATTTGTTGTAAAATTTCTTGTTTGCCTGCCTCTCCTAGGATTTTCGGACATCTAAAAATTGATTTAATTGCCTATTTTTAACGGATTTTGACCCTAAAAAGGTCACCTAGAATTTTCGGGAGTCTTTCTTCTGGCTAAAACTTTCGAAAAGGTAAGTTTTGATCCCTATAATTTTCGGATCACTAGACTTTCAGCAAGGAAATCCGAACAGATGAAAAATTTTTAGGGGATAAAAATATGCCTATATCTACCGTTTAAATACTAAAAGACGTTTAACAAGCTATGTTTAAGTGGTTTTGAACTATATTCTCGTTGGGTGCCCCTGTGATCTGGAGAAATATCCCAGTGTTTCATGAGGCAGAACCAAAGAAAACAACGAGATTTGAAGGAAACAAAATTAACCCTTCCAAGGGGCCAGTGACCAATAACTTGTAAGTTCCTTGAAGATAAACTGCTTAGTACACAACTTTGTGAAAGTATAGCCTGCATAACAGGCTTTATGATCCAAGTGAGGCGAAGGCAAAAATGAGTGCGAAGCGTGAGACGAGAGGGGGAAAATTTTTTTTGTTTTTTAATTTTTTTCTCCTCCCCTCATGTCGCGCTTCACACGCGTTTTGCACTTCGCACAAAATGCCACGTTCACCTCCCTTGGCTCATAAAGTGCCTATTATGCAAGCTAATGAAAGTATATCTCAGACAGTTGTCAATATTCGCAGGGAATCTCTCAGACCACAGACTTGGTAATATTGTCCGCTCAGAGACTTAGCGGAAGACAGTTTTATTGTTCAATGTCATGTGACCTTGAAGTAACTAGTGAGAGTGCACACTGTTGGAGAAAAAATAAGCTAAACAACAATTTATTACCTTTGTTGAATGTAGCACAAGCCCTGATCGAGTGCAGACAAACCACTGTATTATTTATGAGCGATTTAAAAAAGTGCCAAATATGAAAATAAAAATTGCACACAGAAAAAAAATTCCCCTTAAAAATGGGCCTGTACACATGTACAGTTGTTTAATGTAAATTCATTTAATAAAATAGAACCATACCTGAATAAGCAAAGGGGCCAGGTTTAGTGTAGGAAGATACTTGTTTTGAAGGAAGTCTATAACTTCACCTCCCTATAATTCGGAATGACATCATTAAAAATTAAAGTTATTGCAAACAATCCAACAGAATATTTTCTCCAGGTGACATACCATACCTGCTTTTGAAAAATCGTTTTCTGTGTCAGAGCAATTTCTTGCAATGCCTAAACAGAAGATTTCAAAGAGAATGTCCATATAAGTCAATATCACATGGTGTACCCTATAGTACCAGGAAGCCTATAGTGTATAAGCCCCAACCCAGACTCTATAATATAGGCAGCTTCCCTTTCATTACCAATTTAAACATTTAATTTTGTAAATGATTTAGTTAGAATAGTGTCTATTATCTTAAATGTATTTTAAATTCCTCGTATATTATTGTTGTATTATTTAATGGCAAAATAAATGAATGAATTATACTTTCATGTATCACATTTCATGCATTTACTTCTTTGATTTTGAAGACTCTTTAAAACTATTATTATTGATTTGCTACTTGTTATAATGACAAAAAGCCTGCATCCACGGTTGAAACCTCTTTCTCTAATTAGTTCTGGTTCAAATTTTTCCTAGGTTTAAACGTTATAAAACCCATTTTATTATAATTTTCCTTTTAATTACTAACACCATCAGTGAGCCATATAATCTAAAACAAAGAAAGCAAAATACAGTTGACTCTCCCTTAACAGACACCTCTACAAGGTGGACACTTTGGTACATGTAAAACAAACACCTAGAAATGGTCCGTGCCCTTTTTACTTCCTTTATTTGACTCTCCTAAACCCTTTAAGTCCCAATGGTGACCAACATCAATTTTCTCCTAGTGATATCCATACATTGTCAAGAAATAAGGTTATGAGAATTAATAAAATGATCATCTAAGAGAAAGTGCCTTGATCTTTTATCAAATTCTCTCAACTCATTCTTTAAGGAAATGTATAGAGATCAGTTTGGAGAATTTGTATGTGGATATATAGTGGGGCTTAAAGGGTAAAGATGGAGAATTACTCTTAGACAGACACTTTAAGTGTCATTCCCAGAAGTGTCTGTCTCAGGGTGCCTTCCTAAAGTCAGAACTGGCTGGCTGGACTGTGGCCAGATAAGTCGTTTTGAAAATGAAAAAAGTTTTTTCCATGAGTTTGTAATGAAAAACCATCTCCTTCATAGATGTATATTTAGGATTTGACCAATTTTGCTGGATGATTATTAGTATAGATAATAGCATGATTTGTAGTGATATTTGGCATAAATACCATGAGTGATATTTCAAAATTGTTATACGTAATTTCACGAGACGTTAGGAGAGTGAAATTTGAGACAACTTTGAAATATGCCAAATATCACATACAAATCATGCTATTATTTGTTTATACTACTACCCGCAAAAGGTTTGTAATTTTCACATGTAGTATTATTTTCAAATAAAGCTGAAATACCACTGCTCTAAGCCAATCAAATTGCAGAAATTTCTGATGTACTGATATAAAAAGTGAAATTCTCATTACGACACGAATGGTCTGGCCAGTCAGTTCTGACAATATTAATGTAAAGCGCCCCTAGATAGAGTCGACTGTGAAATGTAACCAAGTCACACAAACACAGTCATGCTTTGATATTGCAACTACCATGAGACTGTTGTTCCATACCAGGATAGTTTGTGCATCATTCATATCAAATGTGGGCTTCATTGGTGCCACAAAAGTTGCTGGAACAATATTTTTGTAGATGAACTCTTCAAAGCCATTCAGTCCATTACTTCCCCCTACAAAATTAACCAGCGGCTGGAACATAAGTTATAAGTTATAAAAAGTTGTAACTCAAAGTTCTCTTTAATGTGGTACTACATTGCTTGATATATAGTCAGGGTTTTCGTTAATCATTCGTAGCTAGTAGCAGGCTAGTTGATAGAATGGAATGGTTATGAAACCCATCAGACTCCTTTGTAAATGGTTTTGTGGACCTGACAGTGCACAACATTCAGATTATAGCATTCCTAGCATTTTGATCACAATTTGCCAACAGAAAGCAAAGGATTGTGCACCATCAGGGAGCTTCCAACATAGCACTGAAGCACAGTTGTTTTTATATTTGATGTTTGTCATGTCTTTCATAACCAGTCTTCTCTAATAACTATGGTATTACCCAATCACCTTCCCAGGGTTGAGAAGGCCCTGGGAACGACTTGGGTCTAACAGTGGTTTGAAGCGACCTTCTCCCACTGGGCAGACCAGCGCCCTTGCAACGGAGCTAACTAGGGGACAGTTTGGTAGTTTTCACTACCAAAATAGTATACCCAATCCCACCCACACTTCTTTGAAAGGACCTCAGAGTAATGCAGTGAATAAGTGCATTAATTTTGGTACGTACTTACCCCAAAGTTCAACCAGCTTGCGCAAGATGTTAAACGATATCTTCTGTGCCTAAAATGTGTATATTATAACAAGACAAAGAGAGCAAAAAAAAAAATACAAATGACAAAAGCTTAGGTTTTGACTACTTTAACTGAAGATGATGCAAAAAAGATTTGTACAGTTGTAAAACTGACAGTCATTTTCTGTGCTTGATAAAATAAAGGCCGATACACACTAGGGGTTTTGCTCCCAGAGCATGCTGCAGGCTCATTTTGCATGTGTCAGTACACACGAGGGAGCGTTTTCAAGTTCGCTCAATTTGCCCCGGGAGTTTGCTCCCAAATATTAAACCGGTTAAATATCGTGGAGCATTTTGCGGGGTGGAAATTCTGCTCCCGAGGATGAAGTATACCCATGAAAATTAATCGTTGGTACACACGAAGGAGCTTTGCTCCCGGAGCGTGCCCCTGGAGCATGCTCCGGGAGCAAAATCCCTCGTGTGTAGCGGCCTTCAAAGGATTGAGTTAAGTCCATAATAGTTCACTAAAGTAGGTGTAACAAATAAAAATAAAATAATTCTGTCATTTATCCCCGTGAGTAGTTACAGCACTAATGCTAGTGGGGCCGAGCAAATGCCTGAATCAAGTCATGTATATCATACTTAAGAGGGTTAAGAATCCCAACTGGCCGGAGGCAAACCCACTGGCTATTTACAAGCCTGGCGGAAGATTTGAATTCGGGACTACCATGAACAAATCCAGCTAGCGGTCAGGGCAGAACTTGAACTTGGGGCCTCTGAATTGCAAGTCCAGCACTCTAACCACTCTGCCATGCTGCCTCCTGTTACGTCAAAATTATAAACACTTTCTTATCTCTTAAGTGTCCCAAATAGATGGAGATAAGTGTGGATAATATAGATGTCACAGTCATTGCTTACCACAGGATCAGGATACTCTACTCCTCCTTGTATCAGAGTCATCAACACTTGATGTATATCCTGAGGACCTAACACAACGATAATAACATTATTTTTCTTCTTTAATCCTTTCATTCTTAATACAGTGTAGTGGTAGCCACACAGCACACCTTCACAGCAAGTGGGCTTGCTGAGAACAGAGACAGTTAAGAATGAGATGGCAACAAAGTGCATCTGCAGATCCTGGGAGATCTTTGAGGTAAAAGAAACAGAGTGGTCCCAGAAAAATTTCCACAAAAAATCGAATTTTTATCTCAAAGTCAAAGAAATGAATAGCACTATGCAAAAGTTCTGTAAAGGAGGTTTCATTTGAATGGCAATACCATGGGATTTTGTCTACAGGCTCGATAGTTAGAAGAACAAAATAATCTTGTCATAGCTTGGTGTAAGAGTGAAAGGTTTCACAACTAGCTCACTCTGACAATAGGCTCAATTTCCGCCGTCTGCTGGGTCTGGTCTTTGATCCTCCCTGAAGACAGGGAGTGGCCGGTAATCGAGCCTACTCTGACAACGGCATTTATTTTTCAGTCACAAATGTAAAGTCAACAATATTAATATTATAAGGCAACTTGAGATTTTTATCACAAGGAAGCCTGTTAATGAGATCAGTATTTATTATGCCTAGATCTTCAAAAACTTTGACAAATTCCAAGCTGAAAAAGTGCACACCAAAGTGGAACCGCACAAAATTTTTAGAGCAATAACACAAAGAAGGCATACAAAATGACACGAAAGATACCAGGTTTACTGCCTTGTTACATGTAACTTGTAAGCTATTGTTTCCAGCTAAAAACTGAAACTCACTTTGGGATGTGAGAACTACAGTGACATCGTTGGTTACAACAGCAGCAATAAACAAGAAGTAACTACGCCTAAGAGTTTCTTTCTCTTTGGCAGCCTGTTAACAACAAAAAAATAAACAAACATCAACAACAAGAATGAAAGCAGTTTGTTGTAGAGTTGACGTCATTTCTCACATATCGCAAACATCCTCCAAATTTGGTCAACGGTGGCTGATTATGATGAATTAACCATGGGATTTTAGCCAATCAGAAACGGAGAAATATTTTGAATGAATAATAATTATACATATTAGAGAACTATTTTTTTTTTATGACAATACCAAGGTAAGGACTTTGGTCTGACTTATGTCAGACACCTCTCACAGAGAGATGCAGTCAAAAAAATTAATAAACTTTTATTAGTTTTAACCACAGGTTATAGAGTGCAGGCGAGATTGTGGCAAACTAATGACAACCACTTACATGCTGCACATGTGTAATAACAACCCGGCCTGGATTGTTCAAATGTTAGATAGTGCTATCAACCAGATAAATCACTATCAAGTGGATAACTATTAGGGAAACCAATGGCAATTACATATGCTATCCAGTGGATAGCGTTATCCATCTTTTGAATAACTGGTGCCTGGAAATAAGGATTGCTGGCTGCTTTGGTCTCTCAAGGAGAGGACAAACTCATACAGTGAAACCTCTATTAAAAAAGCAGACCCCCAATTAAGCGGACACCTGCTATTAAGCGGACACCACGCTGGGCCCCAAAACGGACGTCTGATATTTCCCTTTATAACAAACCCCTATTCAGCGGACACCTCTATTAAGCGGACATGGACACTAAAATATGTTGTATTTGGCTAATTTCTAATGTTAATAACCTCTATTAAGCGGACGCTGGACTGAATTGACAATAGTAGTATTGGATTACGTCCTCGAAATATGTACTGAAGTCAGTTAACGTTTTTGCATTTACGAACAAATAAAAGTTGGTAATGAAAGGTAATGAACTTGAACTCTGGAAAGCTTCTTTAACGACATGCAACTTTATCACAGTACAGAGTAACCATTGAATGTTGATCGTTAACAAACATTGCGCAACGAATTTTTACAACCTCTATTAAGCGGACACCCATAACGGGACACTTGATAAGGTCCCGAAGGTGTCTGCTTAATAAAGGTTTCACTGTACTTGAACCTCGTATATGGCCCGGCTGTCCATGAGTCCTTAAAAAGCTCAATGGTTATTAATAGTATCCAACCGATGTACGGAAAGTTGTACCATGTGGCACAAAATTCTTGCAGGAGTTCATTTTCACAGATTGGCGATTTTTTGTGTTTTGCGGGAAGCAATTTTTGCAATTAGGACAGATTGGTTTTTCTTGCTGGGAATTAATTTTTGCAATTTTCAGAAAGTACCCAGAACCCAGCATTGATGATATGTTCGTTTTTATTGAGTACATGCAAAAGAAATAAATATATTTTTCAAACAATAAACCAGTCTTCGTTGTTTCTGAATGAAAGAGACAACTTGTGATTGAACAGACAAGATTTCTCAGTACTGTATTTTTGTGTAGCGAATTTAAGTTAGAGAAAATTTACTCTGGAGTAAATTTTTGCGGGAAAAAAAGTTTGCGGTAATTTTTATTTTCAGAAACTCATGTTTGTGGATTTCCGGAAAAACCGCAAAAATCGCAAAAATTAGAACCTGCAAAAATTTCCTGCCACATGCGCGGTAGGTTCAATTCCTGTTGGGAACTCAGATTTTTTTCTTTGTCCCATGCTTGTGACAAGTTGATCACACCATTTCTCAAACTTAGTCATGTTGTGGAAACTCAGCATTACCTGTTCATCTTTTTCATCAATAGGTTTGCCCAGGACTGTAAAGATACAGTTAACAATGCCCATGAAAACTTCTCCCAGGAAAGGACCAATATGATGCTGCAAGGTTAATGAATCGATCAATGAGATAAAACATTAACTTGTAAGCCATTATTATTATATTCAACGCTGTGCTCAGAGGGAACCCAATGCTCTGAACCTATGAAATCCAGTGTCCCAAGCATATTATTTTTTTTAAACTTCAGATATTTATTTAATTTACAGAGGACGGACAGCAGAATGCTGTTTCACAAAATATCTTCAAGTCTAAAAAAATCTAAAAGCTGTAAGTGTTCATTCATAGAATGCTCGGCCCGCCTTGACTCTCCGCCCACCAACACTAGCACCTGCTATTTACAGGCAGAAATGGACTTATGTAAATGTTACTTTTTAATTGTGTGAATGCCTAAAATGTGTGCAATTCCACAATTATTGGTTTCGGCTGTATTAAATCCTTTTTCAACTGTAGAACATTTTAGGTGGAGCCATCCACACCTGGCCCTAATTTTCAAAAGCTGGATAACACCATCCACTAAATAAGTCACTATCCAGCTGATAACCCAATAGCCGCATTTTTCCTCATAATATATAATGAGGTTAAATAAATATTTATTTAACAGAGTTAACAACAAGGAGCGCGAGCGTGGTCAGCGGTCGGTCGTTTGGCTCAAGCGCGGTCAGCCTTGCTTGCATCACCTCCATGTGCTCAGTACAGTGTTTTCGTGGCGGCCATTCTCTTCGTTTAGCCTTTGGATCATTCTTTTACCGTCTGATTCTCGCTGTTTTTTGCTGTTGCGGTCAAACCGTTTTCTTTCTACGTTGTCTTCGGCTACGCCTGGATTTTGTGCAATCGTTGTTTCTTCGTAATTCGGGGCGACAATGTTGGCGGGACGTTCGTCCCGGCGTTTGGCCATGGTTTTTGCTTGGGTGTTTTGTCTGATACTTCATGGTTGGATAGTTCGACAACAGCTTGGTTGCGGTGTTTTTCGCGGAATGACTGTGGTCTTGCGTTTACTTGCTTAACGGTCCCGCGGCTCACGATTTTAGCGTTCTAGCGGTCCATGAGCTTAGCCGTCTGCCGGTCCACGAGCTTAGCGGTGCGGCAAGCGATTCGCGAGCCCAAAAGGTGAAGCGATCCTCAGGCTTAGCGGTGAAGCAGTCCTCGAGCTTAGCGGTGAAGCGGTCCTCGAGTTTAGCGGCGAAGCAGTCCTCGAGCTTAGCGGTGAAGCGGTCCACGAGCCTAGCGGTGAAGCGGTCCACGAGCTTAGCGGTGAAGCAGCCCTCGAGCTTCGCAGTGAAGCAGTCCTCGAGCTTGGCAGTTCAGCGGTCCACAAACTTAGTAGCGGTCAAGCGATTCACGAGCTTAAAGGTGATGCGGTCCCCGAGCTTAGCGGTGAAACAGTCCTCGAGCTTAGCGGTGAAGCGGTTCACGAGTTTAGCGGTGAAACAATCCTCGAGTTTAGCGGTGAAGCAGTCCTAGAGTTAGCGGTGAAGCGGTCCACCAGCTTAGCGGTGAAGCCGTCCACGAGCTTAGCGGTGAAGCAGTCCACGAGCTTAGCGGTGAAGCAGTCCTCGAGCCTAGCGGTGAAGCGGTCCTCGTGCTTAGTGGTGAAGCAGTCCTCGAGCTTAGCGGTGAAGCGGTCCTCGAGCTTAGCGGTGAAGCAGTCCTCGAGCTCAAGTTTAGCTGGCATTCAGTTGAGTTGTCCGCCACCAGCTTATCAGTCTCCGCCTGTCAACGGTCAAACTCACATGGAACGTGGCTACTTCGTCACAGCCAGGAGTATCAAATTGAGCGGTTTTTGTGGCGGTTGCGTCAGCGTGAAGCTGTTGGAAGCGGTTGTTTTTTTTTTTTTTTTTTTTTTTTTTTTTTTTTTTTTAGCGTCCCCCCCTCCACGCAACCCTCTATGCCTCCTTCCACTGTTTCGTCTTGCTTCATGTGACGGGTGCCTGGAAAGGGGGGCCATGGCTGGGTTGCGGGGATTTGCCAGCCATGGGAGAGGATTCTAGGGGCTGGCTGACCACAGTGGAGGCCCTTGGATACCCCAGGCACTAACATTCCTTCTAGTATTTTTGTAGTAAATAGTTTTACTAGTTTTACTAGTACTATAAAAATATTATAGTCTTGTTGTTTTGTTTTATGGAGTGTTTGAGTTGGACGTTTGTGGCATTATGAGGCGTTCGGGCTGGTCGCGTTTGTAGTGTTTATGGGGCATTGGGGTTGGACATTTGTGGCGTCTACAGGGTTTGTATTGTTTATGGAGTGTTTGTGGGTTAGAAGTTTGTGGCGTTCACAACGTTTGTAACGTTTCTGAGGCGTTCAGCCTGGTCTTTTTATTTTTATTTATTTAGTTATTCTTTTTGTGGCGTGGCGTAAGGGGTAGCGTTTATGGTGCTTTGCGGTGGGACCCTTGCGGCGTTCACAGCATTTGCAGCGTTTATCAGGCGTTTGGGCTGGTCATTTTTTTTTTTTTTTTTTGCCCATTTCGAGTGTTTGCAACAGTTAGGGGGCTTTGGGGCGGGACCCTTGTGGTGTTTACAGTGTTAGTAGTTTTTTTTTATTGGGCATTGGGGTTGGACATTTGTGGCACTTTTCAGCGTTTGTAGTGTTTATGAGGGATGCACGCTGGTCTTTTTATTTTATTCATTTATTTATTTATTTTTGCGTGGCGTTGCGTTTAGCATTTATGGGGCATTGGGGTGGGACTCTTGTGGCGTTTACAGGGTTAGTAGGTTTTTATTGGGCATTGGGGTTGGACGTTTGTGGTGCTTTTCAGCGTTTGTTGCGTTTATGAGGCATGCAGGCTGGTCTGTTTATTTATTTATTTATTTATTGTGTGGCGTGGCGTGGCGTGGCGTGGCGTGGCGTGGCGTGGCGTGGCGTGGCGTGGCGTGGCGTTTCGTGTAGCGTTTATGGGGCATTGGGGTGGGACCCTTGTGGCGTTCACAGCATTTGCAGCGTTTATCAGGCGTTTGGGCTGGTCATTTTATGTCCATTTCGAGTGTTTGCAGCAGTTAGGGGGCTTTGGGGCGGGACCCTTGTGGCGTTTACAGTGTTAGTAGTTTTTTCTTGGGCAATGGGGTTGGTCAGTTGTGGCGCTTTTCGGCGTTTGTAGTGTACATGAGGGATGCAGGCTGGTCTTTTTATTTTATTCATTTATTTTATTTTATTTTTTGGCGTGGCGTTGCGTTTAGCGTTTATGGGGCATTGGGGTGGGACCCTTATGGCGTTTACAGTGCTAGTAGGTTTTTATTGGGCATTGGGGTTGAACGTTTGTGGCGCTTTTCAGCGTTTGTAGCGTTTATGAGGCATGCAGGCTGGTCTGTTTACTTTATTTGTTTATTTATTTGTTTATTTTTTTTATTGTGTGGCGTTTCGTGTAGCGTTTATGGGGCATTGGGGTGGGGCCCTTGTGGCGTCCACAGCGTTTGTAGCGTTTATGAGGCGTTTGGGCTGGTCGCCTTTTTGTGGCATTTAGAGTGTTGGTACGCTTATGGGTCATTGGGGTGGGACCCTTGTGGCGTTTACAGTGTTTTTTATTGTTTATGCAGTGTTGGGGTTGGACGTTTGTGGCTTTCACAGCATTTGTAGCGTCTATAAGGCGTTCGGGCTGGTCCTTTTGGTGGCGTTTAGAGTGTTAGTAGTGTTTATGGGGGATTAGGGTGGGACCCGTCTGGCGTTTACAGCGTTAGTAGTATTTATGGGGCATTGGCGGTGAACATTTTTGTGGCGTTTACGGTGTTTGTATTGTTTAGGAAGTGCTTGGGATGGACGTTCGTCAAGTTCACAGTGTTTGTAGCGTTTATGAGGCATTTGGGCCAGTCATTTTTGTGGCATTCAGCGTGTTTGTAGCGTTTATGGGGCATTAGGGTTGGACCCTTGTGGTGTTTACAGAGTTAGTAGTATTTAGGGGCGTTGGGTTGGACGTTGGTGGCGTTTGACAGCATTTGTGGCATTTATGGGGCGTTGGTGTTGCACGTTTGGCACTTGGGTTTTGTTTCGCCTTTATATGCTTCTTCATGCTCAGCATAGGTGGGTGCCTCCGGGTTTGGTGTATTGGGGCTCAGGCTTCTCCTAGCCATGAGCCCCTTCTCTCCGAGCTTGGAATTCAGCTCGGAGGTCCCTTCGGCTTGGCGTGGGGGCTCATGGCTGGAGGGCGCGGGTTTGCCAGCCATGGGGGCGTAACTCTGTCTAGGGGCTGGCCGTGCCATAGGTGGAAGCCCCTGGACATCCCGGGCACCTACCTCCACTCAGCGACGCAGTTGTTAAATGAGGTTAAATAAATATTTATTTAACAGAGTTAACAACAAGGAGCGCGAGCGTGGTCAGCGGTCGGTCGTTTGGCTCAAGCGCGGTCAGCCTTGCTTGCATCACCTCCATGTGCTCAGTACAGTGTTTTCGTGGCGGCCATTCTCTTCGTTTAGCCTTTGGATCATTCTTTTACCCCCATCCCTCCCCCCCTTAAGTCTTCCACTGTTATCAGTGTGACGGGTGCCTGGTTCCATTGGCGTGGGGGCTCATGGCTGGAGGGCGCGGGTTTGCCAGCCATGGGGGCGTAACTCTGTCTAGGGGCTGGCCGTGCCATAGGTGGAAGCCCCTGGACATCCCGGGCACCTACCTCCACTCAGCGACGCAGTTGTTAAAAAGCAATTTATCCAGGGGATAGTGCTATCCAACCTATAAACAACCAGGGCCTGAGAGTATGAAGAGGTGCCACAGGTTTGCTGCTAGAGCACAGCTTTACCAACTTTATCTACAGCTTTAATGATTTCCAGGATCCAAAAAGTTGTTCCTCTGCTTGTTAACAAATTTTGACCTTACATCCAGAGTTATCACCTCATTGCTTCAGCTCATACAGAGCTTGTATAAAATGGGTGAAGCTTCCCTGTATGATCAATGCTTATACATACAAACACTGTTCACAGATAGACATTACTAACACCTGAAGGAGGATCACGACATTATCCCTCTATAATTTTATTAAGATCTCTCCTTACAGATAACCCACCCAGCCCAGGAAAGGTTGGCCACACTGCCAGGGTCTACACTGCCTTCTGTTTTCAAACAGTGGTGTGGGATTTTTGAAATCCCACAAGAACCAGATCAGTGAAACTGCTGTGAGACGGCTGGACCTACAGTTTTTCCTCCTTATCTGATCAAGATTAAGACTAGAACTTAGTCCCACCATTTGCAGATGTCATTACAAAGGAAGCACTTTCTTCTCAGTTACATGTACCTAAAGACCCAGAGTGTGGGTCAGACTGGGGTTTAAACCTGCAGCCTCTCACTGAGCAGACCAGCACTCTTCCAACTGAGCTGCACCAGGCAGCCATGTCATGTCCCACAGACATGAGCAACAGGAATGCACCTTCTTACAACAGCTCAAAACATGATGAGAAGAATGTTTATCAGCAAATCCAACTTACCTTAAATCTAGCAATGATTTGATTTATAAGTGGAATAAATTCTTGAATATCTCTTGCCTGTGGGAAGAACAAAGCCACATGGCCAGTTATCACATTGACTTGCAACAATATAGATCCTTCCAGTTTTTTCAACTTTTTACATGAACCAGTAATGGGAATATCTGTTCACCCACCACTCTAATAGGCATTGAAACAGGGGTGACCTAAAAGATCTTTTCATGTACTCAGGGTCTGAACCCCGCCTCACACAGCAAAATAGGCTGATTTAGCAACAGAACGGGAACGTCAGTTGACGACGGCGCGCGCAGATCAAGCAACTGGCTTGACCAATGGCAGAGCGGCAAATTGGGCACCAGAAGTCGTGTTTAGTCCTTTCTGCGCGCTTTCCTGTCGTCAACTGGCGTTCCCATCCTGTTGCTAAATCAGCCTAATATAAACAAAAGGAGGCATCGATGGACAAACTTGAGAAGGATTGAAATGAATAATTGCGATTGTGGTTTTCAAAAACTTTTTCAATTTTGTTTTTTGTAATGCTTGGGAGACAATTGTTTTGGTATAATACGAAATTCATGCGTGATATAATCACGACTAGTGACATGATGTAACAATCGTTGATTAGTAAGATCATTACTACTAAATGCGAAACTTGAGAGACACCAACGAGTACGTGAATATTATTCTTATTTACGGTTTGTTTTAATATTTCTTGACTGATTGTAGTTCCTGTTGATATCTTTACGTAGATTTCGAATTTATATCTTCTCTATTTCTGTACATTTTGGATGAAATAAACCATGTGCAGTACTTGAAACCTTGGCGACTCGCAGCTAGCAGTAGAACAATAATATTGTTTGACAAGAAGCTGGCATTTTGCAATCCACAAGTAATTTCCTCAAGTTTCATCCCAAATAAAAAGGAGTTATCAATAATATTAACAAAATGAACTAGACAGCCATGACACAGTCTCTTTAAACTGAGAATGGATTTGGCTACAACATCAACACAATAATTTAATACAAAACTACATTATACTGTGACTCAATTAAAATAAACTTTCCACTGCAACTGCAGTATTCTCTCTGAAAGTAGGTTAGGAATTTTTATACTCATTAAGCTTAATCGTAACTAAAAAGGCAGAGTCGATAATATTAACAAAATGTACAAGACAGCCACGAAACTGAGCCCCTTTAAACCAAGAATAGATTTTGCTTACAACACAAACACAATACAAAACTAAATTTACTGTGACTCAATTAAAATAAAATCTCTCTATTTGAAAGTAAGTTAGGAATTATTATACTCACTGAGCAATCTTTCAACAGATGTGTCACTGCAACTGGGATGAAAGGCAGCACACCATCTCCCAAACACACAATCATCCTGTGTAGGTACTGCCGCACTCCAGAGTGAATGGTGTCTCGATGAACTGGGATTGTTAAGGCCCTCAGGAAAATAGGCAGTGCCTATAAAACAAGAGAAATTAGAATTCTACCAAACAAAGGAAATGACTACCTGACTATAAGGGATTGTAAGAAAAACAACCAAATTTGATGCTTATATTAAACAAAATGCTAGCAGCTTGGATAATTACAACACTTCAAGAGGCCATCCAACACTATTTGCTATCTTTTTAAAAAACTAAACTTTTTTCACATCAATTGAATTCCAAAAATATATATAGGCCAAGAATTGTTATTTTAGACAAAATAATAGGCACTGAAAGTGTTTCCTGCAGTCATCTGTTGCAACAGATGGCAAAGATGGGCAACGATTAAAACTTGACAAAGGTGGGCAAACATTTTCAAGTTTTATTGTTACACCCACAAGAATCCCCAAAAACGCTGTTATAGTTAGTACCTCCTGATGGAATTTTGAGACATCTTCTATGTACAGCTACCTCAAGAAAGGTTGTCCGAAAAAGTGCCCACGACAATCCTGATAGGTATTGTGGGAGGTTTTGAGTTCACTGTTCTTCAAAGAAATTTGAAAGAATAGCACGAGACCGGCCATAGACATATGTTTGCGAGTGCTAAAGGAAAGCAACAAAAGTGGGGTTGACAGCTACCATCGTCAGGAACAGTGTATTGGTCATATCCCATAATAATATTATTACCATTCGGGATTGTCGCGTCCACATTTTTTTCTTACAACCTTTCTCGAAATAGCTGTATCTCTCCAGGAGCATTTATTTTGTGCATGGGTAAAGGCATGGATCAATCAAGGTTTCTGGGAAACTGCCCACCTAGCCTTCCCATAAGCCAACACTTTGCCTTAAGTGAGAAGCAAGTGTTAATGTTCATGGCTTAAGGGAGGGGTAGGTGGGCAAGTTCCCAGAAAACTAAATATTGATCCAAAGGCACTATATAAGTAATGACTTAACCCTTTGAACCCTAAAATCAAAATTGAAATTCTCATTTACTGTCCCTATATTTGTTCAATAGAAGTAGTGGGGAGAATCTTCCCTGGTGATGTACTTAATTCTCATGACCACTCTGTCTTACAAAGAGCATTGATATTACAAGGAGAAATTGATGCTGATTACTCTTCGGGCTTAAAGGGTTAAATTTGAATTGATCCAACACAGCCATATCTTGGTGACATAATTAAAGCCCTTTTAAAAATTATCAAAGATAGCACATGTACAAAATGATTTTAAAGTTCCAAGAAAGCCATTATCAATAACCTAGATGTACCTCAGTGAAGCAGGGTGCACAGCCACTGTCCTTTAATGCCTGCTGATTAGTAAAGGCTTTACTAGCTCGACTGCAAGCAGAAAACAGGAAAATAATACATCAACAACCTTTAAAGCTTCAATAAAGTATGTGCGCCACAGCAATGTTGGAGGGGTAAAACAATAACATGATTTTACTTTGGGAAAAAATTTCATTTTCATGCAAATATTTTTTTATTGTTACTACTCCAACATGGCCACTGTGCACAGACTCTTTACTAGGAATTTAACTTTACAGGTTGTTCTTCAGTAGTACGTGCAAGCTTAATTGGATGAAATAATAATTAAAGAGCTGCACAGGAAAATCCCTGTTGTAAATCCCAAGGTGTCATTGATGCTTTACATTAATTAATTAAGGCCAGGAGCCAATAACCTGGAGAGAGCAACACCTTTGTGCCTGTGCAAGTACGTTTTCAGAGATCAGTCTATTTTTAGATTGATTTTCCCACAAATTTTGACTATCAAATAAGCCCTACAAATCCATCAGTAAAAAACTCGACACTAGAGAAAGTATTTCTGATGTTTTGACAGCAGCTAAGGAAATAACGTGATGGGCGGAGTCCTGAACCCCAGACCTCTAGATCTGGCAGCCAAGGCGTTGGCCACTCATGCAGCCACACACACCTCCACAAGGAAGCTGAATAATATTTACCTGGCATAAGCGACAAGATGGTAAAGGTGCTGAGCATAGGCTGCTGATGTAGTTTCATCGAATTCTGAGACAATCTAAAAGGAAAATTAATCCAACACTACTGTTAGCTGTAACAAAATAAATTAAGATTCTTAATTGTGCGGTCATAAGTCTGACCTAGGACTTTGACAACTAGTAGTTAGGGCCCACATGAAATATGCATCTTTCTTAATTTTGCAAATTGTGTGTTTTACTGCCAATGCATTGTTCAGTATCATGATGTACGTTTTGCAAACTCTGAAGGAATTTTGGGGTTTCTGTTCCATCAATCATCTCAACAGACTTCTTGTTTCAATCCCTTTGGTTTGTTTCTGGGTTTAAAGCGTTGTTGCTTGTGATCGTCCGGCCTGTTTCAGGATATATTCAACTAGTTTGCTTCAAAGGTTTTTCTGATCTTTCTTATTCTTGTCACTTGCAATTAAAACAATGTCTGCCTCCTTTCCTGGACAAAAATTCCCCTCACCATCACGATTTCCTTCGCCATTCCCAGTTTTGTTTATGTAGGCCAAGCTGGGCAAGTGCATTCAAACATTGGGATTTGCATTAACCCTGCCCCCACTCAAATGATTGACAGAACAGGATAACCCAAAATCCCCTCAAAGTTTGCAAAGTGCACAGCGCGATACTTTGAATTTGGCAGTAAATGAAATTGAAATTTCCAAGTATGACTGCCATTTTTAATTGCTATCTACTTTTACAAACCAACATAAGATCTGGTTCCCTTGACCCAGGCTTTGAATAGTCCAGACAACTCAATAAACTTTAAATAGCAGGGTGCAAAGAAAGTCATTTTTACAGCTTGCCATTTGCACAAGCTGAGGCTAACATTTACTTGACCAAACATCATTTCAACTAGCCCCAAAAACGTGTTGATGAGCAGATTGATTTCACAGTTTTTATATAATTTGAATTCCTCAAAATAATTCACTTGCCTGTCAGGCAAGTTAAGAATAGAATTCACTGGCCCGATAGCAAAGACCACTAGCCCGGGGCTATCAGACACCACTTTCTTTGCACGCTGAACTAGTCATGAACCCACAAAAATCCTTCAAATCCTGGCCTTAAGGCCAATATTATGAAGGTTGTGTCTGTTCTTGGTTCTCTCCCTCGCTCTGAAAGGTTTTTCTCTGGGTACTCTGGTTTAATTTTGCTCTGTCCTCAAAGACCAACACTTCCAAACTCCCATTCAATCTGGAATGCACGAACACATTTTAACAGGTTCTTAAGATCTCCCAAGTGCTTAGTGGGTAAACAAATCACAACTACAATAATTTACTGGATGACAATGCATTAATACCAGTTTTCAATACCTTTGTGACAACAGAATCAAATTTTCCAATGATTGGAGACAGCAAGTTTTGCATGTATAATAGCTGCTTCTAAAATAGAACAAAACATCACAGTAATATTGTAATAATGAAAGAATGACAGTATTACATTTAAATTGGTTATTCCACTTTAAAAATAATGAAATCACTTATGAATAATATTAACAGCATACCTCTGGGACAGCTCCACTGGCAACAATTAAAATTCCTGCACTTTCGTAGAGAAACAACTACCAACAACAACAACAAAATATATTATTACTTATATTCCACAAAATGTTTGCTCTCAGAAGTTGGTACTACATACCCCAAAAATGCATTGTGATAAAAGCAAAGAATAATCTGAAGCAATTTAACTATTAATAATAATTGTCTACTAGGAACAGGGTTCATAGCTTTTTGAGCTCTCTCAAATTCCATGACTTTTTTTCATGACCTATGACATGTTTAAACCCAGCCTGTAGGAAGGATACACAGTTCAAAAATCTGCCTCTTTTAAGTTAAAGTTTTGCTGGTTGACAGAAAAACTGAGGCATTGATTTCATATAAAATAATCAGCATGAAATGGCTCTCTTACTCTGTATCACACACACACACACACTAAATAATATACTAATAACAGGGAGCAAGGGTGGCATGATGGCAAAGGCACTCGTCTCCCACAAAAATGCAGCCTGCGTTCAAAGCCTGGTGTCGATCAATGCCACATGTGCAGGGTTTGTTGTGGTTCTCTCCCTTTGAGCTTTCTCCACGATGTTTTTCTCTGGAACCTTTGGTTTTCTCCTCTCCTCAAAGCAACACTTCCAAATTTCAATTTGATAAGTAGTGGTAGATGAAGAACCACTGTGTGAATGGGCTACATCTAAATCATCATCGTCATCATCAGTCATCGTTGTAATCAATGTCATTGTCATTGTCATTGTCATTCTTTGAAATCGAGGTGAATAGTGGCTAAATATTCCTACAACCACTATTCACCAAGATCACTCAAGTGTGTATATACTAATTCTAATAGCGGAGCTCTTGCGCGCGAAGCGCGCGCAGCGGAGCACCATGGGTAAGAAAATGTGGTAATCTACCCATCCGAGAAAATTTGGTAATCACGTGACCGTACGCCCGACCGTCCGTCCGCACCACAGGCATACCAATGTTAATTAACTCAATCAACAGGTATGGCAACTCAAATGCAACTCAAGGTTATTTTGGCGGGAAATCGCATAGCCACCCACGTCTTGTAAAGCAGAGGCAGCTAAAGAGTCAATAAAGACGAAACCAGAAAGCAGAAATTGTTTCTCTATCCGTGTTTTCTAAATTATTAAGCTTCGATTAATTGTCATGTCCACAAATTTGGAATATAGAGCAAGAGAAAGGCAGAGAAAAAGAGAAAAGCGGCAGGCCAGCGAAACTCAAAGAGAAAAAGGGCGACAGAGATCTAGAGCGAGAGATAAAAAGCAAAGGAGACATTTTTTTGTTGGAAGAACAACACGAAAATTTTGTAGCTGCGGTGACAATGCTAGCGGCCACCAATGCAAGGAGAAAATGAGCGGCAGTGAAAAAAAAGTGAACGAGAATACGTACGACATTTCCTCCATACAAAAGTTTCTGGAAGTTTCACGTTGTAGTCGTGCAAAACAACAGCAAAGAAATGTACAAAAAAAGTGTGCTGCACTTGCAAAGTTGCTTTTTTGCTAATTAGACCTATTGCTGTTTTTTCACCGTTCTCCGGCGTTGCCTTCGCCGTTAAGCATTACACGAGAGAGCTTCGCTTTTAGCCCTGGCTAAATCTATATATTATTATTATTAATAAACAAGATAATAACCTGGTCATCGGCAGAAAGCAGATTTTGGTAACCATTATCCTAAAATGACGAAAAAAAACTGCTTCAGAATAAAAAAGAAATGAAATGTTTAAGCTGACTTTGATTCTGTCACAGGTGATTATCATGAGTGAAACTGAAGACATTAACTCATGCTCAAAGCCCAAGATCTCTCATACCACAGCCCAATTCATTCATCAGAAACGTACAGTGGTTTCAAAACAAGCTGGTGATCACCAGAGTTCCACCGACTACTTGATTGAAGGTGGCTGGCTACTCTAGACCCCTCTTGCTTCTGGGGCCTTGCGGCCCCTCAATAATAATTATTGTCACAGCTGTCTACTTTTCTAGAGTCAGCCACCTACTTTAAAACATTTTGAAACCCCTGCAGAAAGGTCCCAAAAATCATCTCTGATCTTTTCTTGCAACAAATGTTCATTACCACTTCATTCTTGGGGACGAAAGGTTACTATTACACATTAGATACAGCGTGTTTACTTACAGGATTTATAACAAGCAGAGCTTGAAGCCTTTTCAGCACATCATGAGCATAGTTAAACATGTTTGCCCTATAAATGAACAACACTCAACTTTACCATACATAGTAAGTTAAGCTCAGTGAATAAAATGAGAAAGATAAGGTATAACACAAGAGCACATTGGACAAAGGAACAAAAGAGTCCTGAAAAATTTAGAAATACTATAGAAGAGAATACAGTCACAACTCCCAATAACACAAACCTTCAGTTAAGGGAAGTCCAAAAAAAATTCAACTTATTGCGAGTTTGAGTTGTTGGTAGTCTTAATGACCAAAAATAGTAAAATAATCAAATGGATGGACGGAATGCAAGTATCATGCACACAACTTTAAGGCCCTGAGTAAGAGATATAGATTGATTTTTTGAAAAGGGAATTATAAGCAACAAAGCTTGCAGGAATGGACACTGAATTTGAACACCAGTGACAGACAAAGAATTGACATGGTTGTTTAAAAATAAATGGAACATATACAAATGATCTGAAGGGAAAAATTTACGTTGAGTTAGTTCAAGATTCAAGTTATTGAGGGTTTGACCATCCTCAGAGACCCAGGGGCAGATAGTGGGAACGAGGGAAAGTCTAAACGGGCAGAAAAATATATATGGGGTTTGACTTACTGAGGGTAAAATTACAGTAAATGTACACGTATTCATGAAGGAAATCAAGGGGAAATCGACTTTAGCTCGAGTTAATAGTGCAAGGTTGGAGTAAGCGAGGGTTCAAGTTATAAGGAGTCAACTGTATCATTAATATGAGTTGCCATGGAAACTTAACCTGGGTTTGTGCCAATTGTTCTTCAAATCAATCAGCACTGAAGAAAATAAGTAATGTCCACAGACATACCAACACTGAAGAACATAAGTAATGACCACAGAGATACCAACACTAAACAACATAAGTAATGACCACAGGAATACCAACACTGAAGAACATAAGTAATGACCACAGACATACCAGCACCGAAGAACATAAGTAATGACCACAGAGAACAAACACTGAAGAACATAAGTAATGACCACAGACATACCAACACTGAAGAACATAATGAACACAGACATACCTGTGCGATTTGATAAATCTTGAAAACAAGTAACAGCATCTACTTCTAACAGTACAGTTTGGATTTCTCAGTCCTCTTTCGTCAAGAAAAGCAATCTGAAAAATGGACAAAATAATTAAGTAATGTTTACTGCTGAAGTCAAACTTCACCAAGTATGGAAACCTCCTTATTATTAGCAGTTTTTATGGACCTAAAGATAGCTTACTTTATACATTTTAATCCTACCTCTACATAACTTGCAACAATAATTATTATTTTTGTAACAAGAGAACAAATCTTACCAGTACTGTGGAAATATGCTGGGACTGACTTGAAAAGAATCTATCATAATTTTATCTGACAACAGTTTCAAAGAACTGAAAGAGCACAAAAAAACAAACCATCGGAATCCGCGACACAATAAATAAATAGCTTAGTGAGATGTTCCAAAGAAATTAATAGTTGCTGAAAGCAAAATTACCATCTGAGCAACAGCAGAATGTCTGTAATAGGAAACACCACTTGTAACAAGCTGTTGAAATAGAACACAAATATTGCATTTTTGGACATTCATTTAACTTTAAAAACTTAAACTAATGCAGTGTTGGACCTAAACCTCAAGGTAATGGGGCGGGGAGGGGGGGGGGCAGGGGGGCAATCAGTAGCTCTGATTTGGGCGAGAAAAGGGTGCCCCCTCCTCTAGATCTGTTGCTAAATATCAAGTTTTAGCTCATTATAAGAAAACGATACAAACAAAGGAGTTACAGGTCAAAATTAAATTCAGGTTAAAATTTTTGAAACCTAGGTTGATTCTCAATTACTTTAATCTCCTAGCCCTTATTACTCATGAACTGGTGTTAAGAGACAAGGGAAATAGACAATAGGCCTACCGAAGGTTAAAAAATTCTAACCTGAATATAATTTGATCTGTAACAAATACACTGTCGAAGTATGTAAAAGTTACAACAGAAACTGTCAAGAAAAAATTTCTAATACAAATTAAAGCTCACCAAACTCAGCATTTGTTGAAGAGCAGCAAACTTGGAGGCATCTAAATACAATTGTTGGGTCTGTTAATTGAAAATTTGAAAAAGGTTATTGCACACACTATAGGGAAGTAATTGGTATGAATTAAGGGACCTTAAGGAATGATGACAGCGACGGCAGCGAGAACAACAAAAAAGCAGTAGGTTTAGAAAAGCAAAACAACAACTTTTCATGTGCATCACATTTCTCTGCCGTCATTGCACAACTACAACTTGAAAGTGCATTATTTCATTTGTCAAGGAAGGGAACACAAAGACAACAACTTTCTTTTGCTTTTCCTGAACTTTGATACAGTCCTTCAGAGTTCAACTCCAAAAAAAATTGCCAACATTTGAGGAATTAAATGAGATGGAATAAATGCGATAAAGTTTGAGGTAGCGCGACTTCACTTTTTAAGTGACAGTTTCGAAGGCGTTGCCATTGTTGTTGCTTAAGTTCCCTTAATCTAGGTTCAATAAGTTGTGGGAATGAGCATATAGCTAGGGAAATCACCTAGCATGGGACCCAATAGTCTCACTATATCCATCCCCATACTACGCAGTTATGGGCAGACCTGCCAGCCCCTGATAAAGGAAAATCTGGAGACTCTTGAAAAAAAAATTCAGGAGATTCTACAAAAATTAGTGAGATTCTATTTTTCCCAATCAAGATTAAACAAACCCTTTTTCCACTGGAGGAGTTTACTGCTTATTTATTTAACAATTATTCCTCGAGCCTGAATGGGCTCTAAGTCAATAGCCCATGAGGCCGAAGGTCGAAAGGGCTATTGACTCAGAGGCCATCAGGGCGAGAGGAATAATTGTTTTAGTAACATCCAACTAGTTGGTAAAAAATAACGAGAATAAAAAAAATTAGCTAGTTTTTAGCTAGACTTTAATCCTTTTTGGCCCCCAAAAAGCCCGCGCTTTTCTCTACTAGTGGGCTATAACATATAGCCTAGTAGTAGCTCATCCAATCAGAACGCAGCATTGATAATAGACCACTAGTTAGATTTTACTAATATGTATTACCCTGCATCAGGTGGGTCCCTACTGTAGCAAATTCGATGTCGCTTTTTCTTTGATGACTTTAAGAGGCCACAGAATAGGTCATCACTGGGACAAAACGTATAGCAAAGAGTCATTTTACAAAGCCCCATCAAGGCTTTAACAGGCAAAGGCATTCCCCACAAAATTTCTTTTTTATTCAACAAGCAAAGTAACATTTCATATCAGAATGATATTTCCCAAAAAACCGTGAGATTAGGAGTCTTGTCGTGAGGCCGTGAGAAAAGTTCAAAAATTGTGAGACTCATATACAGCAGAATCGTGAGAGTTTGCAGGTCTGTATGTGCCTACAAAAAAAAACAGTTGGCTTGTCTTCCATCCAGGCCAGGGAAAAATACACCTAAATGTCAATGCTGGTGCTAAGTTCACCATGAAGTTTTAGGCTAAAAATGGGGTTTTACAGTTCTATAAGAAGGAGAAAGGTGTGATGTTACAGGAGAATATCTTGAAAAAGGCTCCATGATAATATTCAAAGGCTATTGACCCTTACTACGCAGAATTTGTCTAATCTCTGATGCCTAATGAATACCATGTTTACTCAAAAAAAACCTTACCGACATGGCTTCACCCAGCATGTAAAGAGCTCGCACTGCTATCTCAACATCCATGAATTTTGCTTCATCTAATTTCCTGCACAGAACAAATTACAAATAAATTTATGTTTCTGGGGAAAAAACTGGAGGAATTAATTAGCTTCCTGCAACATTTATCTCAAGATCATTTTTTTAGAAGTAAAAGTGCCTAATTCTCAATAAAATTCTAGCTGTTTGGGTATTCTAAGAAAATTCTAAGCTGTGGTTATTCATATGAAAGCTACTTTGAGTAGCATTTAAGATAAAGTAAGATGATAAAAAGCTTTACACCAAGTTTGTGGGCCTTAAAGTACAAAATGAGGCAGCATGGCCCCGTGGTTCGAGCACTGGACTTGCAATTCGGAGGCCCCGAGTTCAAGGCCCTCCCTGACCGCTAGCTGGATTTGTTCATGGTAGTCCCCAGTTCAAATCCTCGGTCACGCTTGTAAATAGCCAACTGGTTTGCCTCTGGCAGTTGGGATTCTTAACCCTGTTAAGTTTGATTTGAATTATTTGTTTCAGGAATTTGCTCAGCCCCACTAGCATAAGCTCTGTAAATACTGCCGAGGGTAAATACTGGAATTATGTATTTATTTACTTATTTTATTACTTATAACACCATATCTTCTCCTGTTTTATACTGTGCTAATCAGCAAAAGGAAAAATAAACAATTGGGGGTGTACACAATTAGCTCAAATTTCAATGTTGTACAATAATATTACTACAGTATATGGCTATATATTGAGCTCGATGTCATTGCAAAGTGTTTATTAACTGACATGCCAAAGAATGAGTTTGAGCAAGGAGGAGATCATCTAGGCCTGTATTATTTCATCAGAAAATTCTAACACTCACCCAAATGTTGAATTCAAAATGTTATGAACTGAGACCAACACCAGGTCAGGATCCTACAAGAATAAAAACAAAGAGATTAAATATAATCATTTCTTTTATTACATCAGGGTTGTCATTAAGAGCCGGGGGCCAGGGATTTTCCCTGGCTACTAAGAGAGTTGCCCGCGGCTACTTTTATTGGAAAGTATAAGAAAAATAGAACTAAAAGAAATCCCTAGCCGTTTGATTCCCCGCCTACTTGTTGTATTTACCCGGCAACTTAAAATCTTAGTGACAACCCTGATTAAATGCTTTAGGGATTGAAAGTCAAACAGAGAGACACAAAATCAATCATTACCAGTTGAGCAATGTTGTCAAAAAGAATTTTCATTTCTTTTCTGTATTCCATGAACATAACTTCGTCTTCGCCCTGAAAAGATCACAAAACTGAAAGATCACAAACGTGAACAGCTAAATAGTATATGAGGATTTATCCATCCATCTTGACTAGGTATGGAGCTGCTAGGATATGGAAATATCAAAGAAATTAAATCATTACCTCCCGTTCAAAATTGTACGACTCATCATATTTCATCTTCTTGATAACAACATGCAGCATTCCCTACAGAAATGAGGATACCAGAGATTAAAACAACTTTATTTCTTACCTTGACAAAAAAAGTGTATTTATGGCAAAATTTATTTAGTAAAATTTTGGGGTCCAAAGAATTGTATCTGAGGTATAATTATGTATAGCCACTACTTACCCTTAAGTTTGCCTTTTGTTGTTCACTTGGATTTGTAATCTGTGTGGAAGTTGAGTTAACAAATATCCCATGATCAGTGACAGTGTTTAGAGTAGAGGGAGCTATCTAACCCTTTCAAAGGCTTAAAAAATTGCTCGAAATCTAAGTCTGCCTAACAGCCGATTTTGACCATCACACAATGCTAAGGAGCGTTGCATGACAAGACAAAACTGGAAAAACACTCGAGACTCAAACAAGTCGAGTTTTGAAACAGGAAAACTGAGTTTTCAGTTTTGAGAAACCGGCATTTTTCACCACTCGAAAATTGTAAAATGAGCAGGGAATTTTATTGTTTGTTCACCAAAAGGTTAGCCTGAGAATCAAGTTTTAGGCACCCGTTCGGGCTGCCTGTTTGAAATTTTGGTTGCATGAGGGTAAATCAGAGGTGCCTCTGGCAACCGAGCACCAGGTAGGCAGCAGCCTTTTTTTCAATATGTTTGATTTTCAATCTAAGCGTTTACAGATACAGGTTACTAGGCAAAAAAAATTACCCACTGATTGTTGTACCTGTTTCAAGACAGCTAAGTAAGAATACCCAAATCCAGAAACATTTTGTGAAACATCATCATCTTCATGGTCTAAAAATCTAAAGGAAAAAAAAACAAAAGGTACAAAAAAACCTCTTAAGAGCGACTCCGCATAAATATCAACTAGAGGTGGAAATAGTCAAAAAATGACCTGGCCTCAAACTCAGCCAGAATAAAGCCCTATGGGCCCTAGTTACAAAATCGTTAGTTTAAGTACGATCGAGTGATAAATATTTTTTGACGAATTTTTTTCTTCCCTAGGCCTAAAATGGGCAAAAATCATGCGAAATTAGAGTCATATTCAGTAACTCGTAAATTTTAAAATAAAGTTGGCAACTAAAATATAATGACACTTCGTATTTTTACTATCTTTCCTCTATAATTTTAACTAATTAGTTCGCGATTTGGTCAACAAGAGATTTTTAAAGACATTTTCAAAGTTGTTGACTCAAAATCGCTTAATCAACCGTCAAAATTTAGCACTTTTTCACGAGCTAAAAAAGGGGATTGGTACATGGCTTTGAACACCAACGCTTGTTTAGTCTGAAAGAGCATTCTTTTTTCTTCAAATTAGCGAAATAAAATTTTTGGGTAAATGAAATCACGAGCGCTGAAAAAGCCAAGCAAATGTAAATATTACACTAAAAACGGGCGAAAAAACGTGACCTCTGAACGAAGCACAACCAAATGTGAATTATGGTAGGCGCCAAACCTTTAATTATTCGGTAACTTCTTGAGACGATATTGGTCCGAAATGTGTATAGATTTTTTAAATAAAGCTGAGTTAAAGTATTAAGTGTCAAAAAGTCCACAAAGCAGTAAAAAACACAACAAAAGTCACGAGTAATCTGTTGCATGTTACGCAGCGATTTGTGCGATTTAACGAATTAACAATTTTTAATCCAACGATACCCACCTGAGACTGTGTTAGTTTAAGAGTCCATAGAACTTCTCAGACGGTTCCTCGGAAAGACCTCCAGAAGGAAATGAATGAAGAATTTGAACTTATAACTGTAACAACTTCACTTGCCGCAACGGCAAAACGAAAACAACTGTCGAACTGCCACAGGCAAACCAGCTTTCAGTGGAGTCATGCAAAGCATGTCACGTCACGTAATTCTGCCCCACGCATTTGGGAAGGAGGGAAGAAATCCTTCCATGCTGTGCGCTAAAACATTTATGAAATAAAACAAGCTTTGGAATGTATCTTTTGCAACTAGTTAAAGAAAAGAATAACTTTTTCCCCTGTTTTTGCTCGAGGGGTGCTGTGCACTTCTTTTATTTTATCTGCTGTTTATAATGATTGTGTTTCAAGTTCAGAACGTGCATCTATAGCTAGCAATTGGTGTGTTCGAATTTATACCGAATGCTGTAGAAAGGATATCAAAGGGCACCAAAGCAGTGGCGGATCCAGGGGGGGGGTCGGGGGGGTCCGGACCCCCCATCAGACCCGATACTTGTTTGAGACTAAAATCCTTACAACAATAGGATTGCACGTCACTGTTTTAACTGGCTGAATTTTTTAATGAAACGCGTGTTGTAATTTTCCACTAAACTAAATTCCAGGGATATTAAAAAATGTGATTGTAATTGGGTACCCTCCAATGATCTGTTCGCCTCTGGTCGCAAAGCAGTATTTCCCGTGCCAGTGGCGACTGGCTTTCACAGATTGAGAAACACGTAGTCGTCTCTACCTTATCAGTGACTAGTGGGAGGGGGTGTGGAGGAAAACTAATTTGCCCCAAAAAAGTTCAACAATCCTTTCTGAACCAAAAGTTGGACCTTCTCCCCCCACCCCCCCCAATGCAAAATTCCTGGATCTCCCCCTGGCAAAGATATGTTACTCTAGTGTAACCTAGAGGAACAAGAGACATATTTGTTGCGAGTCTTTCTAATCATTCGGTTTCCTGTGGTTCCGTGGTTCCTTGTGTTGAAACATCCCGACTAAAAGCCAACAACAGGGAATGAGCTCTTCGGAAGCCAATGAAGTAGTGGCCACATTCAGATCTCAAAAAAAGATTTGGACAAGTTGAAAGGACAAAATCGAAGGAACTGATCGGCGAAAAGAGAAAAGAAAGCCAGTACAAACAAACGAAAACACATGATATCATTTTTTCCGATATTAGTCCGTTTGGAACACGAACCTTTCTCGTGGGCTGATACTGTGGGGTCGTTACAAAAATTGAATTTAAAACTAAAGTACATAATTATAAACATAATCGGTGATTACAAAGGTAGTCTAATAAACCTGAACTGACGCAAGTAAGGAACCAAAAATAACGACCTGGGGCCCGTTTCTCGAAAGTCCCGGTAACTTTTCGGGCCCGAAATCAAATATTCAAATCGAAATATAAAGAATAAGAGCACGGGTCCTGGCTAGCAAACTACTCCATTTTGTTTCATTAACTGATAGTCTTATCATGTTAGATGCAAAACTATTAAAACCTCGATCTTTAATGTAAACGGAGACAGCTTACCAGGCCCGTTAATTATCGGGACTTTCGAGAAACGGGTCCCTGGCCCTGGTTGATCAAAAGACCGATCATTTTTCTAGCGGATACCGTGTGGAACGAAATTTTTGTGGGAGTTTATTTTTGCGGATTGGCGGTTTTTTTAGTTTTGTGAGAACTAATTTTTGCGATTAGGACAGACTGGTTTTTCTTGCTGGGGATCAATTTTTGCGATTTCAGAAAGTACCCAGTACCCAGCACTGATAATATTGTCGTTTTTATTGAGTACGTGCAATAGAAATACATATTTTCAAACAATACTAAGTGTGCGTCAGTATTTTTCTGAAAAAAAGAGACCAGTTGTGATTGAACAGACACGATTTCTTGGTACTGTATTCTTGTGTAGTTTAAGTTAGAGCATACAGTATTTCCTCCGGAGTAAGTTTTTACGGGTAATATTTGTGCGGTAATTTTTATTTGCGGGAACTTATTTTTGCAAAGTACTGACAGTCATGAAATCCTATCAATAAAATTCAGCCGTGAGTGAAATAGTGAAAATGACAAGAAGACAGAGGGGAAAGAATAATAACAGATCAGTCCACTGGGTTTAAAATTGTTTAGCCTGGCACTTTTGTGTAAGCGAACGGGAATGACATATTTATTTGTTAAAAGCATGGTTCATAGCAAAAATTTGCCAAAACTTTAACTGAGAGACATTGCTAGATTCTATGGCATTTTTTCTCGTTCCTTTTTTTCTAGTTCTGTTTGGTCACATGAACCGTGATGTCAGCTTTTTAAGTTAAGATAACCATGTTTAGGCTGTTGTGGACATGTCTCATATTATCTCAGTCATGACAGATGAAACCTTTATTACACTTGGGTTCAAATGTTATTACGGATAGACCTTTATTACACTTGGGTGCAGTTATTACATTTGTGCCTTCCACAAGTTCCACTGACAAGAAATCCGGATCCCTGAAGTGAATTTGGCCTAAGAGGCAACCAAACATTTACCCTCCTTGATGGCATTTTCAGGGGAGTCATATTTTCCTATTTATACCAGTCTGTAAATAAAGCGAAGGTCAAATGAAAAAATTGAGGCTAACGTTGTTGAGATCAAAGATGAAAAAAAATTCCCACTTTTCCTTTGTGGGGATGCTCATCAAGTCCAAGATTATATCGGCGGAAGAGGCACCTTTGCCCTCAAGGGAGGGCAAAGATGAAACAGTCCACAGCTAGTTTTATTTCATAAATATTTTAGGGCACAGAATTACGTGACGTGACATGCTTTGCATGACTCCACTGAAAGCTGGTTTGCCTGTGGCAGTTCGACAGTTGTTTTCGTTCATTGCCGTGGCGGCAAGTGAAATTGTTACAGTTATAAGTTCAAATTCTTCATTCATTTCCTTCTGGAGGTCTTTCCGAGGAATTGTCTGAGAAGTTCTATGGACTCTTAAACTAACACAGTCTCAGGTGGGTATCGTTGGATTAAAAATTGTTAATTCATTAAATCGCATAAATCGCTGCGTAAAATTCAGAACACGGAACAGATTACTCGTGACTTTTGTTGTAGTTTTTACCGCTTTGTGGACTTTTTGACACTTAATACTTTAACTCAGCTTTATTTAAACAATCTATACACATTTCGGACCAATATTGTCTCAAGAATTTACCGAATAATTAAAGGTTTGGCGCCTACCGTAATTCGCATTTGGTTGTGCTTCGGTCAGAGGTCACGTTTTTTCGCCCATTTTTAGTGTAATATTTACATTTGCTTGGCTTTTTCAGCGCTCGTGATTTCATTTACCCAAAAATTTTATTTCGCTAATTTGAAGAAAAAAGAATGCTCTTTCAGACTTTCTTTCCGCTTTTTTAGCTCGTGGAAAAGTGCTAAATTTTGACGGTTGATTAAGCGATTTTGAGTCAACAACTTTGAAAATTTCTTTAAAAATCTCTTGTTGACCAAATCGCGAACTAATCAGTTAAAATTATTGAGGAAAGATAGTAAAAATACGAAGTGTCATTATATTTTAGTTGCCAACTTTATTTTAAAATTTACGAGTTACTGAATATGACTCTAATTTTGTACGATTTTTGCCCATTTTAGGCCTTGGGAAGAAAAAAATTCGTTAAAAAAATATTATTCACTCGATCGTACTTAAACCAACGATTTTGTAACTAGGGCCCATAGGGCTTTATTCTGGCTGAGTTTGAGGCCAGGTCATTTTTTGACTATTTCCACCTCTAGTTGATATTTATGCAGAGTCGCTCTTAATCTTCATTGCTATAATTTATTATCTTGTTATACAGTTATTTCTCAATACCCAACTGGTTTCCTCTGGCGGCCAGTTGGGATTCTTTACCTTTTTATGTTTATTTTAATACCTAACTATTTGTTTATTCTCTTGTTATATTGTGGACCACGATTAAAACTCCTGGGTGACCAGTTACTGTGTTACTGCCATAAAGACAATTTAATTAATTAATTACTTAAGTTTACCTAAAAAGATACTGTAGTTTTTCTTCAGCTGACTGTAAGCACTTGGCTGCACCTTCTGTCTCTCCAGCCTTCTGCAGCCTAAAAACAAATGTCAAGATTATCTGATTATTTAAATTAAATGTGTGCAGTCAGTTTAACCCATAGACTCTTAAGAGTAATCAACATCAATTTTCTCCTAACTATTTTAATACATTATCAAGAGAAGAGTTTATGAGAATTGCCAAAATGATCACTATAAAGGGAACAATGCTTGCATGCATGTAGATCAAATGTTACATGTGGACATTTGGGCTTAAGGGGTTTATAATATTATTATTATTGTTTCACTCTCTAAACGGCCGTGAAGTGCCACTAGAACTTTCAGGGTAAGTAAAGCAAAGGCCAATGTCAGTTCCTTGCCAAAAGAGTCATGCTGATGCTAGTACTATGAAGGCCATCATTTAACTTGAGGAACAACAGACAGTGAGTGTAGGTGAGTGAGGGCGGGCAGAGGATGCAAGGAAAAAGGGTAAAGAGAAAGTGGAGATAGGAAGGATTAGCCGATGGAAAAGCCAGGAAAAACTACAATCATGGACAAAAGTCTAGGGACACTTGCATTTCTGGGATGTTTTCCAGTTAACATGGGTCCAACCCTCCCCTCACCCCACAAACAATGTTGGCTGCGTGTATCCTGAATTTTTTACGAGTTTCAACTTTGTACATTGTATAGGGTTGGGGGGAGGGAGAACTGAACGAAAGTTTCGAAAAGGATGACTGTTTTAATGAGGGAACCAAGAAATGACAGAAAAATATGAATATTGCAGTACTGTCCCAAGGACGGTTGTCCAGGATTGTAGAAAGATTTAGGTCAAGTTATGTTTACAGCAAACATGAAATTTGTACCACTTGACCAAGTTGTCCCCTAACTTCGTTGTGCTGTACTGTTTACTTCTACCAAAAACTTAGTAGCTTCACATTAGTTATGTCTTGTTTTTAGCTGCATGTTTTCAATTTTGAGAAATTAATTCTAAACTTGAAGTTGACATTTTCTGTTTCCTGACAATGCAACTCTCAGTCTCTCTAAAGTATTGTCTTGCTAGAACACACCTTGAAATTTTGTTAGCAAATCAATAATCTCTTACTTTGTGTAGCTGTTTAGAAGCTGTGATCCTGAAGCACTCATCAGTTTTGCTAACTTGGCCATGAAGTCAGCATCTTCATCCTAAAAGTGATGATTCAAATGACAAATTAAACAAAAATTACATTAACCCATTCACCCCTGGGAATATGGTGGAAACCGTGTATTGAAGCTATAATATAATCTTGGACAAAAATGTTATGCTTAGACATGAATAATCATGTACCTCTTGTGGTTCAAGGATACCGCTTTTCTCCAGAACACTCAGAAGAGATTCCACCAGTTCTTTCTTTGCCAGTGGCTCCATTCCCTTCATGATAATCTCATGTATGCAATCACAAGCGCTCTCCCGAAGAACTTCAACTGACATGTACCGGAGAAAGGTACTGCAAAAACACATTATCAATTTGTAAGCAGGACACAAAATCAAAGGTTGTGCTAATAGTAAAATCCTCTTTTTACAGTTTTCAGCAATGAGAAATGATGCTTTTCCACATTATCAGCTGCCAGTTGACTTAACCACTGAAAGGCTACTTGCAAAAACTGACTTTATGAGAATTGAAAGGACACAATAACACAGAGCAAACGAAACATTTTTACCATCAGTCATCGTAAAACACAGACTGATAACTATTGTTTTCACAAAGCAAATGACAATGTGACAACAAAAGTAACATTGCAAAAAATGAAATAATCAGCATCTCACGAAGAAAGAGAAAATCTTAGTCCCTGACAGGATTCAAACCTATGACCTCCCAAACACCGGGTGGGTGCTCTATCCACTTGACCTACGCAGAACTCATGGAGAGGGAGGCCATAAATTATATTACAGGGTGTATGTTCAAATTTTACCATCTTTCATTCTTTCACCAAAAGTCCCATTGTTTTCTAACCCTAAAAATATCATTCCGTGTAGTCCACAGTCTGCATTAGTTTTACTCCGCCCCTATTCAATGAACATTACCTGATAAACCTGTCGTTTGCAATCAGGCCAATATCGATCCATTCAATATATGCTCCAATAATGTCCAGGCAAAGGCATGTTATTGATGACACACTATTTTCATATGTTTTCTGCATACAAAACGTAATAAAAAAAACCGTCAGCAAAACCTCAACCTCATTGTTGTACCAAAATACAAGATTCCCACCTACCAGAATCTGAAACCAAGAGTCAACGAGCTCTGTGACGCACGTATCCCTGATGTGATCTTTAATTTTCGTGTTCCTCTCTGCTTCCTGTTCATGGAAGAAAAATTTCATTCAGCTTCTAAACTGATTGATCAGTAAATGGTTTTACATACTTGTACAAGTACAAATAACGGAAACTCCACAAAAGTTGGCAGTCTTAAATCAAATCGTTGAGTCTTTACACAAGTTTCAAGATGTGACAAGCAAGATTCTAGAAGCACTGTTTTAACTCCAAAGAATTTTGATTTTCATAAGGAGCAATTTCACACATGTACAGCGTAGCCCTTTGCACAGCATGTTTAGATTCATATTCACAACTTCATGTGTTTGGCATGGTGAACTTTGTCACAACAAAAACAACTTAAATGACAAGCTTTAACAAGCTTTTATATTAGGCAAATAAAAAATTTAGGTACAGTCCAAACCTGCTTTACAGACACGCACTAAAATGGGTTCAGCTTCAGTGGCTTCAAGCTGCTTGTATGAGATGTTAGGTAGTACAATATTATATAGAATTGAACCTAGCTAATCAATTTCTGTTTGATTGTACCCCTCTCTGTTGGAGATATATTTTCACCAATGGAAATTGTAGCATTACAGTTTTTAAAACAATTCACAAAATTAACCTGTTGACTCCTTATCACATCTCTATCAACCACTTCCTCATCAATTGCCTTCAAAATCCTAAGATACATATCCACAGCTAATGCTCCATATTGCAAGCACTGGAGGAGGTCTGAGAAAAACAGCAGCCACTACAGCGAGAAGAAAAATGTTACATGAAGTTAAACAACATTTAATGCAGTTAATAACAAGGAGAGCCATCGTGTGTTGTTGCTCAGAGGTCAGTGTGGTGGCTCAAGCGCAGTCAGCCTTGCTAACATCAGCTCCATGTGCTTAGTACAATGCTTTCAAGGCAGTTACTCACTTTGTTCAGCCTTTAGATTGTGCCTTTCCCCCAACCCTTCCCTCCCTTTAATTTTTATCTGATAAATCATTGGGACAGGTGCCTGGTTCCATTGGTGTGGGGGCTCATGGCTGGAAGGCTTGAGGGCATAACACTGTCTAAGGGCTGACTGTGACAAAAGTGCAAGACCCTCGTCATCCTGGGCACCTACTTTCACCAAGAGTCGCAGTTGTTACCTGATTGTCAATAGGTTTAAATGCGAAAAAAAAAATGTTTTTCTTGCTGGCTGAGCTTGTGAAAGAGGCAGGAATTTAAATGAAGTTCTCTCACACTGAATGAAATCCAGGCACAAGTTACAATTTAGGGTATCAGCATTCACGCTCATTACACTTGAAATAGCAATAAATCAGCCAACCTTCTCAGGATAATCACACACAAAGATCAAGCTAAAGACTTGTGCTGCCTTGTTCTTCAAGAAATTCTTGTTATCTGACTCGGTACAACACTGAAAAGTTACAACAAGGGTCAATGAAAAATCGCAGTGAAAAATGTTACAATTACCACTACAGTGTATGTATAAGAATTCAAAGAACAAAGGTGCTAGTAAGACTCTCAAGGCTTTGCAAACCAATGCACTTATGTCCGCTTTTACAGTATGTATCTTTGCACAACTATAAAAAACAAAGTTTGACAATTTTGCTCTACCTTTTGACATAAAACAAGTTGTTTCAATTTTGATGAAAGACAGAGAGAGAGTCTAGCCCATAATAATATGTCAAAGGTATTAGCAAGACATCCTTTTTCACCTAAAGACAGACATTGCAATCTAGGGTGAGGGGCAAAAAAAGAGAAAATGTTCCTTGGGATTCTACTGTAGAGTAAATTAGCCTAGTGTACCTGATTTCGTAGCCAGGTCAAAAGAATCTCTCTGAGTGCTTGTTGATCTACAAGATTTGATGACACATGTCTGTGCACAAAATAAAAAATAAAAAAAAATAGCCATTTTTTGAGGATCACACACTTAGACAAGATCATCCAAGATGTCTTGTACAGTACAGGAGACTGAAGCATGTTTATACTGAATACAGCTAATGATCAAATGTTTGTAAGTTATTCCTGGTAAGAAAACAATTAAACCCAATTGTCTCTAGTTGAATGTTTTTCATCATAATAGCCTACATAATATCATACCAAGTGAGTAAATATTTAAAAATTAAATTTTCAGATAACATCTTTTAATAAGAGTTATTCAGAATAATTTGGCAGACAAAACTTTAAAATGGCAGATCAACCAGCAGAATAAAACCTTTTTGATTTTTCCATGGAAGGAAGATTAATTTTAAAATGGATGCCACATTATAATAATTATGTAAAATTTATTATTAATCATTATAATTAGAAATTATCAATGTTTAATTTTACCTTGTTTTTATATGATGCTCTAATACTTGAAAGCAAAAGAACTTGACACTTTCATCACTAAAACAACAACAAAAAAGAAACCAATAAGAATGTCTGCCTAGGAGGCTAAAGGCAGATGAAATGTTCTCATATCACACCCATACACAAGCCAGTTGATGTGATACTGGAGCTACGTACATGTACTAGAATAGATGCTCATGTGAGTGGCACCCTTGAGATGAGAGAAATGTGTCCATAACTGAAGCTAATCACTTACAAGAATGGTTCTCGTCTGCAGCCACTAGAGGTGAATGGGTCATATCATTTGCAGCTTATGGGAGCTTACTCACCTACAACATTGCAGTTTGGCATCCATTGATAAATGTCAAATAATGTGAATAGTGGGGTACCCATAAAGCCATTTTCGGTCTCTTATGAACTTTATAGTGATTGACAATTCTCACACTTTCCAGAAATAATGCAGAAACAATACAAACTGGTATGTTACCATTATTTTAAGTGTTGGAATCAATTTTAAAGGGTTTAAATGACATGTGCTTATTTTGATTAAATTTAGACAGATAGACTGAAGTATTGTTAGTTGCGTGGAGTTTTATTCTTAAATTATTTTGTGGTATTCCTAGCAAGAACAATAATCAGGAAAAGGATATACACGGGGGATTTCTTGATAGAAACTCTATGTCATTTTTCATGATCGTCAATAATCAATGGGTGCATTTCTGTAATGAATAAATACCGGGATACCAAAAAAAAAAAACTGTTTCATACAGTTGCTCAGACAATGCCATAATTCAGGCACAAGCATAAAATTCAAGTGGTGTTTTGAAGCGTAACTGGCAGGTACGTGAAAAAAACTGATATAAGCTGAAAGAAGAGCTGTCTACTTAAGAGGAGTGTACTGTCCAGAGTCTAAACTGTGCTAACTGGGTATTTATATACATAGGTAAAAACAAACAAAGTTTTTTCAAATAATTAACTTTTTCAATAACTGCAACATACTTTATGGCATGTCTAGCTACATAGCTGATTAGCCTTTGTAGCTGGCAAGACAAGCAGGTTATTGCTGTTGTTTTTCGTTTTGATCGAAGCCACAAGAAGATTAGGAGCATTTAGCAAGTCAAATGGAAATCCCACTTGCCCCAATTCTTGTTTTCACCCCAGCCCTAGCTTGTTTGTGGGATGTTGATGTCTTGCCTTTTTGCAGGTACAGTGAAACCTCACTATAATAACTTTATGACATGTCAGGGCTCGAAATTGCGAGTGATAAGGTCGCCAATGCAACTAACATTTTCTCCTTGGAGACTAAACGTTTTGGTTTAGTCACCAGAAAGAGGCAACCAGATTTTTCTATGCTTTAGATTTAAATTAAAAGACTAAAGTTAAAACAAACATTTCATATTATCTTGCTTTGCTTTCATCATAAAAAATGTGCCAAATCGCATAAACAAAGCCAGTTTACCTCCAAATTTATGCCAACTTCTATCGTTGATATTTTCAAATCTGATGGATCGTGCCATTCTATACAGGGCTTCTGATAGGTCGCGGAAAAAAAGTCAAATTTTGTGGGATTTTTAGGGACAAATTCCCAGAAAAATCGGCCAATTTCGCAGCAGTTTTTGGGGCAAACTTCGCCTAAAAACAACTGGAAAAAAACGGCCGATTTTGTGGTTATTTTCAGGGAAAATTCACTAGAAATCGATTGGCTGATCAGACCAGCCTTTTTAACGTTTTTCAAACAGAGGTCATCATTATTTTGCTCTTTCAACAACAATATGCTCCAGAAATGAACCAATGGCAAAGCCTTTAACGTCATGGCTAGTGCCCAGTTTTTCCAACATAATCTATGCCTGGTAGTTTCGGGACCTCGTTTGCATGTTTCAGTGACAAAGTTTCAAGATAAATTTGCTGAGATAAATTTCAAATAAGTTGTACAGACATGTATCTCATATAAGATTTCTACCGAATTTCGCAGTGTTTTGCTTGCTTTTGTGAATTTCGCAGATTTACCTGAATTTCACGGCTTCGCAACTGCGCGAAATATCACAAGCCCTGAGCTGCGTGATTTACATTATAAAAACTGGCGACTAGAAATTGGCATCTGGCGACTATATTTCTCCAGTTGTTTGCCAAAAGGAGACCTGAGGATTTTTTTAAATTCGAGCCCTGCATGTCTAGTTACATTAGCCTGTGTAGCCGGCAAGATAAGCAGTCTGTTTCGGTTGTTTTTAGGTGTCAGGGCTGCAAGAAGATTGGGAGCATTCAGCAAGTCAAATTGAAATCCCACTTGCCTTAATTGTTCATTTCCCGCAAGCCCTAGCTTGTTTGCAGGATTTTGATGGAACCCCACTATAACGAAGTGCCATGGTACCAAAAAAATTGTTGGTTACAGGCTGTATAGTGGGGTCTTTGCTATAGCGAAGCAAAGCGGGCCAAGAGAAAGTCTGGAGAGGAGAAAGGTAGAGCCTGAAGAAATGCGTTGCTGCCGCCAATCCACCCTTGTTCATCGTTTAAAATCTTTTCCCGAATTGCATGAGCATGATATTGAAAGAGCGTGATACTGTCCACAGACCCGCGAATCTGTTAACATGAAGACATTTGACACCAGAATGGCATCACAGAATGGCAGCATCAAAGGCATGTCTTTAGGCTCTGCTACATCTCCTCCCCTCCCCCCTCCAGGCCACCGCTTTATCCTCTTTGACCCTGTTTTTTCCCCTTTTCGCTGACTGCGGAGCTGGTTCCAGACTATCCAAATTTGGTCAATCAGAAATAGAGAAACTATTTTGAATGAAAGATAATGTACTATATAGTTGCATATGAATTATGAATGTTAACATAAAGTCAAAATAAATTATATCAAACAATGCATCTTTTTAATCAAGTTCTGAAATAATGCTCAATGAGGTCCAAAACGTTAACGACTTAATACCACAGTAAGACAATTAACTTTAATATCAAGTTTCAATTACCTGTAAAGATTTCGAATTAGGGCATCACCACATAGCTTCCAGCCGTCTGGGGAATTCTTTAGCTGTTCAAAATATTGCAGAGCCTATCGTTATTGGCCAAAAAAATTAATAAGAATAATGTTAATGACAATATATAATCTGTACACGATTGCATTGCTATATGATGTTCGAACGCCAACTGAACCGTTCAGAAGAAAAATGGTTAGCAAGAAACTCACCCCTGCCTGTGATGTCGCATTTGCGGCCGCCTGAAGCCCTTGTAGCAAATTATCGGCCATGAAAACGCATCCAAAAAATGGTCGTCGTCGACTTCACATTGCACATGGAGCTAAAAGAAACGCGATTTTCTCCTCACCGGAGTGAGAAAAGGCAGTGTTTACGCGGTCAAGAACATTAATAATTTAATGAAATTCTCATAGGGTTTCAAATAGGCGAAAAAAACACTGAGAATTTACATTTTCACTACTATTCGTATCAAAACACGAACATTCGTTCAATTTCCAACTTTCCACATGCAGGACCACGTTGCATCATTTTGACCTTCCTGTGGTAGGAGCCAAGGTATGAGTACCGAAGATGGCCCTTTCTCTCGTACCCAGGCTACATGGGCGCTTTCTGGAGAAGACTGAGAAAATTATAAAACTGTTTATAGTTCTTTTGTTTTTTAAGTGTTTTGTTATGTTCTTGTGTCTTCTTAAAAAATTTTATCTTATCAGGAGTAGGCTTTGACAACAGAGAATGAGATATTCTCTCTTGGCTTTGATAGATTGTGCTCGCAAACTGCGGGACTTCCATCGCAGGTAGCTCAAGACTGTCAAGATCGAAATATGAGTATCGGCGAGCATCGGAATTGTTGCGTAACATTCGAAATATAAGGATTGTATGGGGAAAACACTTCATTTCTGTAACCTACGAAAATGAAAGGATTCCAATAAAAAACAGCTTACCATACACAAATGTGTACATCTGTCCTGTGTGGTTCATGGGCCGATTTATGACCGTTTTATGAGTTGTACTGTAAACGGTTTTCTCTATATATATAAACCTTACATATTGATCTTGATAATTTCTCAGGCTAGGTTTGAAAACAAGTATGGAGTTTAGAGGCCAGGTATGAAACCGGTGTGAAAACTGACATTTTCTTGGTCTAAAATGTCTAAAATAGGGTCAGGATTTTGAGAACTGGGTACGCATACCCCCACCCAGAATTCCAAGGAGTACCCCCCGGGCTTTATTTCACCTAGAAACTCAAAGACAGCATAATTCATTGTCTGGCAGCTTTTATAAAAAAAAAACTCAATCAATATTCAGAACCAGCACGCGGACGTTTTCGTTGTCGTATAAACCGAGCTTTTTATGCGGATGCGTTGAATCCTGAGGAAAAAGTCGTGGGTCACTTCGTGTAAGACCCAGGTCCCAGTGACTATTAGCCTGCGCGCAGACGAAATTAAACTCTGGTTAACTCCGTCTGCGAAACAGCGCCGAAATCCTTGTTCTGGACTTCCAGCTGTGTACCCAGATTTGAGTACGCGCCACGATTGGCCAGTTAAAAAAGGCCTTTGTTTTGTTTGTCGTGATCGCCAATCAGGTTGAAGGGGAATTAGAAACGCACTTCCGGTAATTCGTTGAGTCCGTTGGGGGTCCAGAACAAAGATCTCTGCACTGCTTCGCAGACGGTACTAATCAGAGTTTAGTTATCGTCTGCACGCAGGCTAAGTGACTATAAGCAAACAAAAAAATGATTTTGTAACTTAAATTTGGCTGTAGCACTGATTTCGGGACAATTGTGCGCTGCAAAACTAGCCAAAAGTGAAAATATGCTAGCAGTGCTTTTGTTCGGTAAAAAATATCAAAATCAAGCGCATGCTAGTGAAAGTGAATTGCCAAAAATTATGCTAGTGTTAAATTTGCAGCCTAGGAGCCCCGTTTGCTGAAGGAGCAAATCATGTAAAACTATTATCCTGACAGGTGTTTACTTTGTTTTATTTAACGAAAGCGCGACCAAGATGTACATTGATCGCCGCCACCCGTCAACTTCTCCCTTGGAATCATTTTTTGACTCTGCCCTCCCCCCACCTTAACTCCCTGTAAGTTCTAGGAACAGGGCGTGAATGGAAAGAAAACTACTTAGAAAAAATTTTCGAAATGTTTGGATTTACCTCGCGAGGTTGTCGTGTTTGTTTGGGAACTTCTGAAAATGCTGATCCATTCACTACCGAAAGTTGTCGGAAATTCAAACCGGAAGTTCTGGTTGTGTTGGTTCACAAAGACACTGTCCTGAGCAAAGGCGTTTTTGAGCGACGCACGCCAATCAGAAGTGAACTGTTTGCACTCATGAGCAAGTTCATTAAGAGAAAATACAGTGGCAGCACAAATGTGGCAGCGTCACATGACGGCACATTAAAATGGAAAAGTCCTCACTTCCGGTTGACGTGCGCCGTTCAAAAACGCATTAAGCTCCCTATTGGGCCAATTGACCACTCCAGAAAATACCATAACATAACATAATACTCTTTGTTAGTTACTCCATTGTCTTCAGTTTCTCTTGGGAGTTAAAATGGCCCCAATTGCAAACGAAACTGAAAACAATGTTTATGCTAAATTTTGGAGTGACAAACAAAGAGTATTATGGTATGTAATGGTATTTTCTGGAGTGGCCAATGGTGCGTTTCCCTGACCCCAAACAATACTAAAACAATAGAAAGAATGACATGTCATCGTTTCCTGCGACCAATTAGGAGAGACCTTACGAACAGCTCCTACACTACTACCCTACTGGGCATGCATAAAAACCACGGGCGTCAAAATGAGGGGCGTCGGCCATTTGTGCTTGATAAAAAAGCTATAGCTCATGATATTTCGAGTTAAAACTTGTGTGTAAATGAATCCAAAACCATCCGAAAGGTATCTGGTCGCTTTGCCATCAAGAATTGGACTTAGCTCATTATTTTCCCAAGTATAAATGAGAAATGAAAAGAACTTTCAGGAAAATTTTCTTTAAAAGGTTACTTAATCATGCTTCAAATTAGTCGATGATTGCGTGTGAGACGTTTTGTACGTCCATTTTTTCTATGTCATTTTGTGGGAGGGAAATGTCGAACTTAACATTAATCAAACTTATCAGTATTTGGTGTATTATGATCACGAAAAAATCAACATAAGGTTCGTCAGTAATGCGATCGACAGTTCAGTGACAGTTTTGACAGTTTTGTCAACTTTAAATTCGTATAGGCTTGACACCCTTGGTAAAGTGACGGTAGGTATTTCCGCTGAGCCGTCACTTCTCTGTAGGACCAGGATCAAACCACTAAATATAACTGGTACAGCAGTAGATTAAACAGGACTAAACTTTGGTTCCAACAGCGTTTATTCTTCAGCGGATCAAATAACAATAACTCAGGCAGGAAAAGGCGAAAATAATCGAAAAACAGTAAAAACTAGCTTACCGGTACTTACATATGATTCTTCTACAACCATTGAAGACAAAAGAATACAATAGAAATATAGACAGAAATCGCTTAGAGTTAAATGAAAACTAATTAAAACTCTATTTTTAACCTGAAATCTTTTATTACCGTTGTTATTTTAGACTCTGTTTACATTGAGTGGGGGACCCCGGTTTAGTGGGGTAGGTCTCTTTTGTTTTGTGTCCCCCAGAGCGCGAAAACAAAAGAAACCAACCTCACTAGACCGGGATCCCCCACTCCATGTAAAAAGGCCCTAAGAAAGTAAAAGTACAGTTCTGAAATAAAGACCTTGTAGCCAGGTCAGCAAAACAGCCTTTAAGTTCAAAGTATTATAACATGAATGAACATACAAGTTCAACGAGCGGCTGTTTCAATAGAAAGAAGCGTAGACTAATTGCAAGCCAGTTTTCACCTTAAACAAAAACCGATCTATTAAAAAAAGACAGCGAAACCTTTCATATTCAAAATTCACCTGTAGCTCTATTTGACTAACAACTTAATGAAATATTTGTTCTCAAACAGACGGCTAAATTACAATTAAAACAAGGTGCACGATCATCTGCATATAGTAAACAATTGATTTTGTATTCTCCCATGATCAAGGGATCACAATTCAAGTGGAATCAAATATGTCAACAATGTTATTTACAAACATGTTACATAATGTTGGGCTCAGGTTACAAACCTGTCGTACCCCTACTAAAGGAGTAAACGACGCCGTTAGCCCGCTTTTTACTTTTACCGCTGAAACAACTCGATCTGTCATACATGCTTTTGAGTAGAAATATAATCTTCTGAGAAAATCCATATTTCATTAGCTTATAGAAAAGGTCGTTTCTCCATATTGTGTGATAGGCCTTTTGAAAGTCGACAAAGCAGGCGTATACCTTTTTTATCATTTTTCGTATAAAGATCAATTACAGACTTCAGAACAAAAACGTGGTCAGATCCCGGAGGGTCAGACGTCCTATAGCCTTTTCGGAAGCCAATTTGGTTGTTGTGTATTATATTGTGTTCGTCTAGATATTTTGTAAGATGGTCATTAATAATTAGGGTAAAGAATTACCTAGACAACTACATACAGTAATCCCGCGATAGTTATTAGGGTCGCCTATGTCACCCGCTTTAAAGACGGGTGAAATATAACCCACCGACCTCAACTGGGGAAATATGCCAGAATTCAAAACTTTATTAAAAAGGATTTGCAATACAGGCCCAATGATGGACACGCTTGATTTGATCATCTCATTAGATATTCTACCATTTCCGGCTGCCTTCTCAGTTTTTAACTTGGTCGCTGCTTTACGTATCTCTTCAAGCGTGATTGGTTCGTATAGGATTGGTTCATTTGATTTTGCGAATTCAGCAACTTTAGATTCGGTACGTTGAAGTCAACCAACTTCTCAAACCCACTCTTTGCGGAGTTATGGGGGGTAGAGAGTTTTCTAAAATAGGTAAACCATTCTTCTGCGTCAATTTTGTCTGATATTTGGTTGGCTGAAATCCTTGGGATTGTCAAACTCAAAGGAAGCAGTATTTTGAAGTAAGAATTCTTTAAAAGATCTTTTCTTCGTTTTTACTAATTTCTTATAAGCTTTCTTTATTACAAAAAATGTACCTCCCACAATGGGATCAGAGGGAAATTTCGAAGTCAGTTTTCCAAAGTGCAGTACTTCTCTTTTAAGTTCGAAACAAGATTTATCAAACCACTTGTTTTTCCTTCTCCGGGAATTTTTGGGTTTTTTCAGCACAGATAAACCTGATTTAACAGGTAACGTGGCTTCAGCAACACTGAAAACAACATCCAAAAGATCTTTAACAGCGTCATCGACATCATAGGAGACGCCCTTCAGACATGCATTAGAAAATTTGTTAAGGCGGTCTACCACCTGTTGTGATGATAATTCATCCAAAAATTTTGTTTTGAATATATTGTTCCATTTGAAAGACACACGCACCCCCGAATTCAATATAAAAGATATTAGACAATGACATGACCAGTCCTTTAGAGGAGAGACGACAAAACCCATTATTTCAGTAGGTAATTCCTCACTTACTACAACGCAGTC